GGAAATGAGGCAAGCAATATCAAAAAGGAAAAGATAGGTGAAGCCCAATATAATAGGTATCACTTCTATTAGATGGGTGGTATACAAGATGTATCTCCCTAGCATTTTCCAGAAGAAAAATGGTAGGCTACAAATAAGAAAAAATTAGTATGAACGAAAATGTCGATTTTTTCTAAGATTTTTTCTAAGGGAAATATCATTACTAAACATCTTTTTTATTATTATATACAAACGATATTCTACTTCAAACTAATCTAAACTACGAGGAGAGGGATTTGAACTCGAGTGTAGAGTAAGGAGTACATCTTCTCTAACCAACTTAGATAAGCCCATATATGCACCAAAACATTTTAGAAATTAAGAAAATGGCAAATGTCGTCATGCATTCTTTTTATCCTTTCATATGCAAATCACTCAATTGGAACGAATCCAACCATCAATCTATTTTTCTCGAATATGTTAATGTGAACATAGAGTTAATCATGTAAATCTCATCCAAACGCGTAGGGTATGGTTGACGAAATAAAAGCACGTAATGGTCCGATTTTTCAAATTGAATCTATATTTTTTTAAAAGCAATGGTAAGTATTTTGAATCATGTTTTTTTCTTAAAAAAATTTATACAAGCGGTATTTGGGGAAGATAAAACCGAACATATCCAACTCATACATACTTGTTATAAATTATTGCCATATCCGAGCCAGAAAAAGATGCTGATGTACTTGTTTGATCTAGTCTTCATAACTTGTACAATCGATGACTTAATTTTTAATGAGAAAAAGACATGTTGATCTACTTGTTTGATCTAATCTTCTTAACCTACATGATGACTTTTAACTTTTATGGTATGCATGAACAAACAACTAGTGTTCATAATTAACTAACTAATTACATGATGATGACTTTTAGTTTGTAATGTGTGAGAAAAAAAGATGCTGATGTACTTGTTTGATCTAGTCTTGCATGATGACTTTTACCTGTATATTGTATGATGATGCTCATTGCTCATATGTTAGATTACATGTATAATATTTATGATGATGCTCATACGTTAGTACTCCAATCAAACTCCCACGACATCGTTATTCTATTACTATTATTAGGTCCTCAAATCCAAAGTAGTTCAACCTCTCCTTCCCTCAACTTTCCCAAATTCTTAAACCCCAAATTTAAATTAGCCAAATGACAGCATCAGCTAGCAATAGCATCATTCAGAGAAAAGCACATATTCTAAAGTAATAAAAATGGGGAAAATACCATAACTGTAAACAGAGGCGGACCTGTTAAGGAGCAAGGAGGTGCAGCTGCACCTTCCCTCGCCAGAAAAACCATTGTAGGTGCTTGAAATTGCCCCTTTGCTCAGCTGGTGGTGGTGTACATATTACCTTATTTCCATCTTCAACATTTAAGTAAATGTCTTTGTCTTTTTACTTTCATTTCTTTTTATATTACTCCATTTACTTAAGTTTACAATGTAAATAAGGAAGTACCCCCCATTTGGATTCAAATAAAAATACTAGAAAATCAAATTCCCCCCAAATCAAAATTTGAAAAATCGGTTTGAGTGCAAAATATGATTTAGGTTAAAAATGATAGCTCATTAAGTCAATATATACTTCATAATAAAATCCAATAAAATCAAGTTTTCTTATTTGATGTGTAAGGAATAAAAGCCGCTGAAAATTATCTTAAGAAAATCATTATTCCGAAAAACCATTTTTCATACTTAGTCAATATTTTTACATAGAACAATTTTTCATGTATGATATGAATGCATGAAGGGACCTAAGGTCAATCTAGGTAAAAAGCCTTAGATGTTCAATCCACAAAGAGTTTTTAGCCTTTCAAAATTGCACCTCCGCTAAAAAATTCATGGGTCCGCCAATGACTATAAATACCAAAGAAGAAGAAAACGTGTTAATCCTTCTACTCTACGTTTTATTTTCCAACTTGTCATTACAAATAGTTTTTTTTTGTTTTTTGTTTTGTTTTTTATACAATCAACGCGGGGATAGGGGATTTGAACACATGACCTCAGGTACAGAAATAAATAACTACTCGAGCTATAAACCCCTTTCAGTAGTTGAATCGCTTGGTTCCCACATGGCTCCCGATCTTATTGACTATTATCCTTTATATTAATGAAGTATCATGATATTTTATTTCTGGATGAGAAACAAAACAACAAGAAGCAACTACAAAACGCGTTAGAGTCATAGCGTTATTGACTGAGATAACAACTTAGTGCTACTCTCGTTTGATGGAAGTCTTTCTCACCTTGACCATCAAGCTCGAAACTTAATCAATTGCAACATACTTTCATTGCAAAGTTGGAAGGTAATTCTTGATTTCCATTTCAGAACATATTTTACTGTCAAAATCAGAAGTATGTTGAATTAAGAAATGAGGTAGAAGATTGATTAGTGATGAAGAAAACTTTTTTTTTCTTCTCATTCCCACAAATATGGTACAATATCAACATCTTATATTGATATCCACAAAGGGATTTATATTAATATTGGCATCTAAAAAAAGTTCGTATTGGCACTTCTAGTGCCCAATAACTAAATTGGGCACCAAAAACAAACCTCTTTTGTGGACACCAATATCATGCGCATTGATCTTTTTTTGGTTTTGCTAGTGGTGTCATTTTAAAAATGGACACTACACATCCCTCATTTCTTACAAATCACAATTTGATAATGTAAAAATATTTCATAAAAAATATAACAACAACAAAATATGTACATAGGTGTCAAACTGTGAATGACAAGACAATAGAAGTTCCTACTTCCATGGAAATGAGGCAAGTCTTTTTCTTGAAATTCCATGACACTGCAACTACTAGTTTTTCTGACAAATCTTCACCCATCTCCACCACTACAACCAGTGGTAGATCCATGAATTCTTCAAGGAAGAGGCAATTTTAAAATGCTAAAAGCTCAGCAACAACATTCATAAAGGTTTTAGGTCTATGACTAATTGACTATAGTGTATATAGTTTATCAATTAATATGAACAAAATTCATGTTAATTACACAATTACTCTACCAAAATTCATATCAAACTAACAAAAAACAATATCAATTAATCTAACGAAAATAAATATCAATTAACCTAATCAAAATGCATATCAAATTATCAATTAAACAAACAAATTATAATTAATCATACCTCGAGTCGTGCGCTGTTCAGGCTCTTCCCTCTCGAGTTTGCTACTGATTATACGAATACAGAGAAAGCCAAAAAAAAATTATAAAAAAAAAGAAGAAGGAAAAAAAAACTAGAAGAGAAAAAATGAAGAAGAAAACAATAACATAAGCAAAAACAGTCCCAGACCTTGCGAAGGATTGGGTCTGAATCTGATAGCTGCAAGCGCAACTTCAACAACGGAGTTTATTCTTCAATTTTGAATTGAATTGAATTGAATTGCTTGGAGTGACTTCAACTTGGGCCGGGCTCCCCTCCGCTCTTTATTAATAGGATTTATACAGATTCGTGTTGGGTAAGGCTTCGTGCAGGTCAATTACACTTTTTTTTTTTTTTTTTTTTTTTTTTTTTTTTTTGGTCTCGCCCCGAAAAACGTTGTTTGTCGCAGTGCAGGAACGCAACAAACACAAACACCCAGCTGCGCATCAAATACAAAAAAGTTTCACTCAGGCAACAACTCAAACAATTAGTCTGCCACCTCCACAGTATCATCCGATGAGGGAAAGTGCAATTACACCTCCTTGCGCCTCTCCTCCATCACTATACATTGCTATTACTATATCCACTGCACCCAACCACAACTACTTTATTTGCTTTTTCCATCCCACCGTCACTTATTTATAAGGGCTAGTTACACTTAGGAACTTTAGAGTATGGACCAATTATTTGAATTTGGATGGATGTTGGGCTTCAAATATTTCATGTATTTTCAAAAGCCTTCTTGTTCGTCAATGGGTCTAGTCAAGTGGAAAATGACTTTGACTTGCAGACTAGAAGTCTCATGTCCGAACCCCCCTGGCATCTTGGTGCGGGTGTGTGAAAATCTCTTCCCATGTAGTTTACACTATCATTTGTATTCAATAAAAGCCTTCTTGTCCTATCCAATCCTGTTTATTAATGACTTTTCGACCTACTTCCCATCAAGTATAAAATAATCAAAATGAAAATAATGACAAATGGATATGAAGGGTCACATGTACTTGTCATCATACGATACAAAGCTGCACATTAATTCCTTGAACTATCTTAGGGTAATTAATTTGGATAATGCATTAATCTCCAGAAAAGACCAATATCTTGTCACCACCTATGCACCTCCGTGACCTTTACAGCCCACAGTAATGTAATACGCCAACTCTCTGTCACGAGTTCTAACAGTGTAATCCGAATGGGCTGCTGGTTTTAAGCTTAATTATATATGCACATTTTTTATTTTCATTCTTTTTCCATATAAAACTATTAATTTTTCATGATCGACTCAGCCGTTCATGTATGGTGCGTATTATTAGACTCACCAACACATTTAATGGATGACTAAAGATTAGAAGTTCTTAACCAATATTTCTTAAATGAAAGTCTGAAATGATGTATGCAGTATGACAACTCCATGCTTCTTTTTTTGGTCAAGCGGATACAACTCCATGCTAATACTCTCTTTTCATATGACGTATTATATTAATAGAAATATGCTTATCTTTTCAAGTTGTGAATTTGAATCACACATTTATATAATCAACGTACGTAATTAATCAATGGTCCAGAGTCATCTCAATTATGTTGTCTAACCTAACAAGTTCTAACATAGGAAATTTAATTAAGTGGAGACCAAAAATGACCAAACCAAGCACACCACAAAATAGTAACAAGTGGCTATGGGCAAGAGTAAGACAACTCCCAGCCCCATGTGTTTGGTTTGCTATATAAGGCCAAACCCACAACCCATCTTTCACACACTTCACTACACAGCAGTGACATATATCATAGAGAGAGAGAGATATATATTTTTAGACATGGAAGCATACAAGAAGCTTGTTGTGATTGTGGCATTAGTGCTTTTGGCACTAGCCATTGAATCTGAGGCCTTGGTGGTGAACAATGAGCAGAGTTTTTGCCGCATGACAAAAGAGGGTTTGAATGCATGTGCCCCAGCAGTGAGTGGGCAAAACCCTCTGCCTCCCTCAGCTCTTTGTTGCTCAGCTCTTAAAACGGCTGACTTCCAATGCCTTTGCCTTTTCAAGAAGTACTCAAACCTTCTGTCTGCCTATGGCATCGACCCAAACCTTGCCATGCAACTTCCTGCCAAATGCAACCTTGGCCAGCCCATCCGTTGCTAGTAATTTGTTAACGCATATGATCATCAAGTGCTGCGTAAGAGATAGATCTGTATTTGTTTTTCTGCAGCTTAATTTATTTTGTTTTTGTTTGTTGTGGTAACTTTTTTCTTAAGTTTTTTGGTTCATTGTTGTTTGTTTTCTCAAGCTTATTTTAACTTGTTTGCTTCTGTTTGCAAGGGTGTGTTTTGATTTTCAATGATGTAATGTTGATTGTCCTATTGTAAAGTTCTATTTGGATGTTTATGTATTGTTTAAATTATGAACTTCTTAGCCTCAACATATAGCATTATCATTTCGTAATACATATCACATGATGAATACCGATCATGCAGGGGTTTTTTTTTTCAAAATAAACGACGGTCGTGTTTTTATTTTATTATTTATATATTTGAACAATCAGTTATTCTCTTATGCGGACGTGCGGACGTGCGGACATCATTGTAAACATGAAGAAAAGCATGGAGGGGTAGTAAAAAATAAATGACGTCCACACAGTAATAACGTCCAGACATCCACATAAGAGAAAATTTGTCCAAACAATAGTCTAAATTACTTTAAACTATTTTAGTTTACGAAAAAATGATTGCAAACTTCAGTGTAAGAAAATAAATACTAAACCATCAAATTAGTATCAAAACTCCAACTCTGGACTTTAAACATGAAACCTTCTTTAATGAAAGAGGGATTAATTGAAAAAAAATTGCAGAAAAATTTGTACGATGTTTTTTTGCCTATGAGGTTTCTTGTTGAGAATTTGAAACCTTGATAATTTATCAAGAACTTGAGAGAATAAAACCAAAAAAAAAAAAAAAAAAAAAAAAAAAAAAATTTTTTTTTTTATGAGACTGTTAAAAATAGCTTCGTATTGATTTGATTTGTGCTCCCATGGTAAGGAACATTTGCCTGACATATACCTCCCCTCTCTCCTCTATGGCTTTTCTTTGTAGTATAAAATTAAATTAAATTAAAAACAAATATATGAGCCAAAACAAAATTGTCAAGAGTGGTAGGCCTTCTCTTCGTATGCGTCATAAATTTGACCCAAACTGGCCACTATCAGGCCAAGTTTTTCCATTTCAACCTCGGGTGCAGTAGATTGGTTATTAGCATCCAGTCCACGTCTACAAACATATCTTTGGCTAAGAAGCCCCCACGTATTACCATGAGAGAGTTATATGTATACTCTTGTATTCTTATAACACTCATCTTGCAATCTGAGTGCTACAGGAACACAGGAATATACACATCGGGTTTCTCCCATATATAATTTTGCAGACTTTATATTGAAGAAAGTTGAGGTTCCACTCCAAAACTAATTGGCAATGGGGGGGAGTATCCCTTAATAGGTTTCTCAACTTTTCAATGTGAAACTATTTACCTTAACATTCTCACACATATCAAATAAATAAACGAGCCTCTCGTGGTATACGACCCAACACATCATAAGCTCATGGCTTGAAACCCATGAGTGCAATAGGAAATTGTAATTTTAAACCTCTTCTAATATTGGGAAGAAAACTAAAATACGAGCTACTTGAATTGTGGACACAATTCGGTCATAGAGCTCCTAGAATAATGCGCAAGGGACTTGTAAAGTAGTTAAGAGTCTTAAGACCATTTACCCATGCATCCGAAATCTCAAGGTTAGATTCTATTCCCCTTTCTCCAATCCAATATCACTTCTATAAAATAAGAGTAATGCTACACTTACCACATTTTTATCCCATATTTCTGTACCACATGATGTGGCATGTCCATATTATATGACACATCAATTAAATCAATAAAGTGTATTTTAATTAAGACAATTAGAAAAACAAATATTGGAATAAATCATAAAATAAAATAAAATATTAAATAATTTTAATTGACGTGGCTGTCCACCTCAGCTGTCACATAAGATGGTATAGGGATGTGGTATACAAATGTGGTAAGAGTAGCATTATTCATAAAATAATAATAATTAAAAAAAAATAAAGAGGTCATGGAATTGTATTGGGCTCTCATTTGTTTAGGCGATATCACTCACACTTGGGTAAGGCCGGTTGTAAATGTGAGCCCACGTCTGAACTTTCAATTTTTCAGAATAATTAGGCGCAAAATGAAATATAAAAAAGTTGAAGGACGAAATGGTAACAAAAGGGATTAGGGTTTTCTTCTCATGAGTATAAATATATGGAGCAGCCAAGAAAAACAGAAGATCAAAAACCCAACAAAACCCTGAGCTCCAAACTCTGCCCTTTTGAAAAGAAGACGTTTTTATGCAGATTTTCATTGCGTTTTTGTGTTATTGAATTTGTATGGCGCTGTGTGTGTGTGAGTGTTATTTTGAATGGTGGGAAAAAGGGGAGGAGGTGCCTTCATTAATCCCAGATAAGCTGAGAATTGGTGCTTATCTGATTCATAGGAGGCCAAAATCAACTCTGGAGGTTTCGCTGATAAATGCCTGTTTTTTTTTATCATCGCAAGGCGTTTACTAGTAACTTTCCATACATATAAATCAGGCTTCTTTTTCTTTTATGAGTTTTTTTTTTAAATGCTGGTCTGGTAAGAGTTGTCAAAATTTTACAGAAAACGTATATTTTCAGCATTGCCCCATGGGTTGGTTGTGTTTCTGAGGATATGATATTAAGAATTAAAAGTCGATTTTACATTCGGTTTTGTGGGGATTTAGATTCACTACTAGGTCATAGAGCTACCCTATTTTTTTATTTTTTTTTGGTTAATCAAACAATGGAATGGGTATTCCAGTTCAATTGACCAACATGTAAGATGTGATGTGAGAAGAGAAAATGTTTCAATTATACTTATATAATTTTCATATAAAAGAAAAAAGTAGCTCATGAACATTATTTTGAATGCTGCAAAATGCTAGTTCGTTCCCATAAAATTGGAGGTTCATTTTCAATTGCAGTAGTCCATGAATTTGTACCCGAGTGTCATTTGATCCTGTATGAATTGAAATTTTAGGTCGTTTGATCCTATATGAATTGAAGTTGAAGGTTATATCGACGGAAGGACCAAATTGCCGCGTATCGCAATTGAAGCATGCAAAATTAAAACCAAAATGAATGTGAACTATTGCAGTTAAAAACCCTAAAGCTGAAATATAGGGGGATAGCATACAAAGAAAAGGAAAACATAAACAAAACAAATCCAGTTGCAAATTACAAGTTACTGGTGCTTCAATTAAGATTGCGGTTACTTTGGAATCAAAGCAAACGGTACGCGATTTTCTTACTGCTTAGATGTTTGAGAAAAGGGCATATTTTTCAGTAAATCGCTTGACCCATCTAATGTCACATTTGTACCATCTAAAATAACACGATCATAAAATAGAATTTTCAGATATTAACCATCTTTCAGAACACTCTTACAGCCTCCATAAATCAACCAGTTTTCTCATTTCTCTCTGATAAGCATTTTTGGCACGAGAGTAACTTTTAAATGTATAAATGCCGGTGGCGTTCTAGGAGATAATGGTGTCTATTAACTGGATGAATAAAAAGGATTGGCATAATTAGCAGTTCCTCAACGACATAATTTGTCCTATAATATAGAAAAGTCTGCGTAATGCTATTGCCTATCAAAATCTCCATTCCTAAGCTCTTAGTCCCCGCGGTACATCTTCCCTGACAAATTGTTCTAAAGCTACTTGCTGTATAAGTGTACAACTGTGAAGACGAAGAAGCCTGCCATCTGCATCACAAACAAAAATATTGTTTTATCAGAATATTGCCAAGTAATTTTCGGTAAAGCTAATATCATACTCATTGAATTATGACACCAAAAGGTGGGAATCTTGGGCTTCTTTCCTATGTCATGGAACATACACTAATGACTGGCCAATAAAGCTGAGATTGTCTTCAGACCATTAAAAGAGAGTTGGGAAACAGTAAAAGAAGAGTTGGGCAGAAGTTACACAGGAAAAATGTTAAATAACAAAAAACATGGAGTGCCGTTTGAACAGCAAAGGAGCCTACAAACTGGGATCCCATCTAAGCAGCTCGTTATATACATGTATAATATATAATGACCAATTACAGAGAGCAAAAGAGAGTTACCATAGAAAATGCTGCTCCATAATAGGGATAAGCTGCTGGTATAAATCTTTCATATTCATTGTGTCTAAATGGCCGAACAGGAATCTGCAATTCAATATCCATGGTTTTCATTCAGGTGGTGGATAAAGGAACAGTACAAGAAAACAAAAAAGCCCGACGTAAACACACAAAGCATGATACAAAATAAAAGGTAGCACAATTAGTCAGAGTAAAAAGTTTTGGGTACAGGATTATAATGCTTTATGTGCTACACAAAATGTCTTAACTCAGCCATCTTCCATACTAAATATAAAACATAGGTGGGTGGCTCGTTGTTGTATGTTAGACTATACAATCATTATTTTCTTTCTTTTTTCTCACCATTCAAATTAATGCAAGAAGGTTCGACCTTGATAAATAGACTGCTGTATTTCTGTTTAAGGGTAAACACAGATAAACCTTTTTAATAGCAACATCTTCTCTTAACAAGTTATAGATACATCTCCACCATGAATAGGTACATTTCTTACCTGCTTTGATAGGGATAAACTTGTGTAGCCAAGCCTCTGGTACTCAACCTTGAACTGGAACACCCCATAAACATCTGGAACTTTAAACGCTGTAAAATAACTGCCCTGCAATACAAAAAATAAAACAAAAATCAGAAAGGGTATCAACAGAAAATCTACAGGATATACAGACAGTCTGGAGGGAATAACGTGCATTACCTTCTGATCAGTCGATAAGGTTTTCAGAACATAGGGACTCATCATATAAAACTGCACTTGAACATCATCAGCAACATATGGCTCCCAACTTTTTCCATGCCATTCATAAATCTCCACCGAATATTCCTTCAATTGTGATTTCAGTGTCAGGTGCCAAGAACTTTAGTTTTGTGCTCTTTTTTGGGAGTCTTATTAACACCACAAATAAATAAAAATTACCAAGTCATCGTTGATCCTGTAAATTGCAGGTTCATCTGCTTCCCCAACTTTGTGGTGTCTTACATTCACAGCCTACAGAACAAAATGGTTTAATAAGGTGAGCATTTAAGAAACCTGGCAATACCTAAAATGAAACTATTAGATGAGTTAACCCGGCCAGCATCTCTTATTTCTCTTCTTTTTTTTCTTTTCCCTTTTTTTACTTTTGTGCAAGCCTAATTAATAGACATTATAATATCAGGACGACAAGATAATAACTTTTGCCTCACCTTGAGATGGCCTCTTTCATGGAAAACCCATTTGCTGAGTTCAGTCAGAAACTGCTCATTAGCTGATTTCTCATGCCTGTTATCACAAAATAAGTTTCTCCTTAATTTCTTCTTCAAACAGGAAAGTCTTCTATGGTATTAAGAGGTATGCACAGTAAACGCACCAAAAATGCATATTTTATTCATCAGCCATTTTGTGCAGCTATATTAGGAAAAAACATATCTTATAAACTGCTTGTGAGCCCTTATTGCTCCAGCATCCATATTTCTATTGATGTCTAAATGTCTAGCCTAATCTCTGCATGAATCATAGCTCATCAATAAGTTGTAAAGGCCATCCCTACTTCAAAATAGGCGCCACAGCCTACAAGCTTTTATTAGTTTATAACCAATCAACAATTGAATTTTCATCATACCCAATATACCAGTTAACTTGGGATCTTCTTTTCAAAGATGTGTGACTACCAACTAAACTACATCATGACCATTTCAACATATCAGATATATAGCTATTAGTTAACTGACAACAGGCAAGCTGTTAACTCCATTCTCCACTAAAAGGTTCTTTTTCCTCTTTGATTATATAAGTTAATACATTATGTGGCAGTTAGAACAGGAAATGTCCTAATATCAATTGAAACATGTATGGAAAATAAATTAAATTAGAATTCATAGCATCACTCACTTCTTTGGGCTCCCAGCCTTCTGAACCTTAGATCTGAAAAACCTGAAAAGAGAACCAAATCTTGTCAGAGGAAACAATCAAAAAATTAGAGAACTTCATTTGACAGGAAATCATCACATACCTATCGCTAAACAAACTTAATGAACCAGAGATCAAAACCCGAGCATTGTTTCTTGCCTACAAAATAGACAAGAAAAACACATGAAAACTGTTACAGAATATATATATATATATATATACATCATTTACAGATCTCTTCACTCAAAGAACTCACTGATTTAGTAATGTTTATGAATGTAAACATTTAGAACCAGACAATAAGGAGCTAAATCCTGATACTGAAGACCAAACATCCATTTCCAATAGCTATGGCAGGATTTAGAGAAAAGTCACTGGCCTCATAGGCAAAAGGGGAAGCAGAACATAATACTAAGTGGTAATGAGAAAAAGTAGGATGCTCTATAATAGTTTTCTGGAGTAATTATGTTATAGCAATTAGGAAAAGAATAGAGACAGAAAGAAAGAGGTAAAAAATTAACACTATCTTCAAGAAAACATTATGAAACAAATAGTAAGTTGTAAATAATTAACAATATCTTCAATATCATTTACATATCACAGAGAACCATGAGTTTGAATTTTCTAAACAAAGCATAGACAAACACATAAACAAAGGAAAGCATCTATGTATCACAAAAATAATATACACAGTAATGCAGTAAACGAGGAGAGGAAAACAGGCAGTGAAGAGTTAACACACCTGCACAACTGAAACTAAAGATATAGCAGATCCAGTGAGAGAAGGAGGATTTGACAGCTTGCTTTTGGGGTTAGCAGAATATGCTGAAGGTGAAGCTGAGAGAACTTTCAAAACCTAAAATGAGGCACATATTTACATGAAAAAGTGAGGGTTAAATTTTTTAAAATAAAAACCGAAAAACAATAACAGTTGAATAACTTTAATTAGCACAAAGGTTGATTCTCTTGTTTTGCAATGCACTGAAGATGGAAAATTGAAAATTCTTACCAGGCTATTTTCAGAATTCACCGTATGGCCAATCCCCTGGAAAAGTACAGGAGCCTGTGGCAGAAGCACCAACATAAACAATATCAGGGACAAAGACTATAATTACCACTACCATTTACTAATAGTGTGCATTGAATTGAGTGCAACTGTTACAAATTCTCAAAACACTTTGCTTAAGCTATTATTGGATAGGACGAAAATGATGAATGGCTTGAGGAAAAATGTCACGACCTGTAGCCAGGCCAGTACCCATTTAAGTTGATGGAAGAGCAAAAGTAGAAGAAACAAAACGCAAATTAGGAAATGAGAACGAGAAATTACAAATTCAGAACACTTCATACACGAAATTAATTGAGTTGGAAACAATATTCTGTAAATACTACCAATTGAAATACACATGAGCAAGATTTAACATAATTCAACTGGACAACAAATATTAACATTGTTAAGAATAGATACCTCAATTTTCTTGCTTCCTAAAATTACATCAGACTTGATGAAATCATCACTAGCAATAACTGTATGATCTCCTTCAGTGTTGGAAACTGCATAGCTTGTGTGATCTATGACCATAGCCGCTGGATCCTGTACCCATTATAAATAACATACTCAAAAACATCAGTTCTTTAATCAAGCTCAAAATGCTGGAAGAAAAGCTATGACCTAGAGAAACACATATGAATTCTAGGGAAGGATATGAATGTCATTAAACCTTGTACAATACTATGAGATAAGAGGAGTAGAAAAACATATGTAAAGAACAGCTCTTTCAACAAAAATTATTTTGCTAACCTCACAGTCATATCAGTGCAGTGTATGACAGTGGTCTGTGAGCATTATTGTGTACTTAATGACAGGAGCTAGCAATTGACAATATGCTCATTTTAGTGAAGTCATTCTTGCTGTCATTAAGGAAGCAGCAGAAAATACACCTCTAGAAAGATCAGAAGTTATTCATAAAGAGCTCACATCTAGCAACAGTTCATGACACGATATGATGATAATTCTGCAATTGTTAATAAAGCATTATAATTTCATCCAAACCCTTCTGAATTAAATTGCATTAGAATTGGCTTTGTTGTAACAAAGACATGAATATAATATATTGATATGGATACGCACTTTAGTGATTATGGCTGTTTCTGTTATTCCCAAATGATCAATTCTTCAAAGAAATGTCCTTTTTTTTCCTTGATAGTAAAAGATTTAAAGAAGCAATGCATGCATACTGGACAGAAACCAACTTCCAAGGAAATTCTGAATATTTAAAAGGACACTGAAAAGAGATAATTGATATAGTAACCAGTGAAATGCTTCAATGCTTAAACCAACCTCATCAAAATCAACTCCGCACTCGACTGCGATTTGTCGGATCAAATCAGATGCATTGGTATCAGCTGCAATGATCAAATCATGACCGCTATCCACAAAATCAAGTATAGCAGCCAGGTCAATGGACCCTCCAAACCCTATATCACATGATAAAACAGAAATCATAAATAAATACAGTCAATCTGAATTCCCAAAACCATTTCAATTCACCAAAGTTTTCGTTTTCCACAACACAACATTTCGAAAAGAGAGAGACTTACGATCGACCGAAGGAGAAAAGAGAATCAAGGCGTCATAGCTATACAGGCCGTAACGCTGCAAGGAGATCTTGGGATCATCGGCGAGCTTGAAATCGAGCTCGAAGCCTCGAGATTGCAGGGACTTGAAGAACAAGGAGTGCGAGGATTTGAGGGCGAGGTCGTCCAGCAAGACGAGGATCCGGCGATCGGTTGGGTGGTCCGGCGAGAAAGAGTGGGTGAGAAATGGGAGGGTTAGGGTTAGGAAGGTGAGGACACTGAGGAGCTTCAGCATGGTTTCGGTTTGGGAGGGACTGAGGAGAAATGCGCCTGTGAGAAGTGCTGCTTCGACTTTCTTCCTTCAGATCGCAAAACTAGAGTGGACTCTGCACTGTGGAGGGGTTGGCTGACTTTTCGTAATTTCTTCTCTTTTTCTTTTCTTTTTTTTCCTTATATTTGCCTTCTTTATTTTATATTTCTTTGAGACATATTTTCCCAAACGATAGTCGTGACTTAGGAATATAAGAGAAGTCATGAATCAATAAACTTTTGAGGGTCATTTACTTATCAGAAATAGAGGAAGTAAGGAATTGGGGAATTTAGAAATTGGAAAAGTAATGAATCGGTATGGGAAGAATCATTCCAATTAAGTTGTTTACTAACTATACGGAATTAGCACAAAAATGGAGTTGAATTCTATTGTTACAGTGCGTTTGGATGAAGAAATTTAAAAGTACAAAGGATTTCATAAATGACGGAATTTAAAATGACAGAAATTAATGTTCTAGAATTTGTAAAGTTTCTTGTGTGGGTGACTGATTTAAAACATGGAATTTAACATTTATTTGTAAAGTTATCTTTTTAAAAAACTCAATCTCTCTTGGGATTTTATAAATGATGACTTTTAGATAGAATTTAAACTTGGGATTTATGATCTCCAAATTCCATTTTTTTTCCATATGGAATTTCTAAATTTCTATGTTTTTTTTATCCAAACACCAGAATTGGTTCATGTCAATTTAGAAATTCTTAGTTTTGTTAAAATCCCAAGTTTATTTCCCTCATCCAAACGCACTATTATTGTTTACTAATTCTCATGAATCAAAACTTAAACTAATTTGATTATTAAAATGCCCTACACATATAAATATATATTTTTCACCTAAGTAACTTATAAAAAAGAAAATATACACAACTTTATTTTATAACTAATGTATAATATAAGAAACTATATGGCGAGTGATGAAAAAAACTAGTATATAATAATATACATAATATAATAGAAAAAAAAACAAATATGACATAGTGATAAGAATCATAACAAGACAAATAGAGACTAACAACCAAGGTGAAAAGATAAAAACTTCGCTTTTTTCCAACAGTAATTAATAAATAGCCATTAAATTTTTTTATTTAGGCTTTAACGTGTTTTGGAATTATTGTAAAGCGGTAAGGGTATTTTTGGAAGGTAGTAAGTTTATTCGATTACTAGTTTTGAGGGGATGTGATTACAGATTTTGATGTGTGACCCATGTATTTTTTTCATTCCTGATTGCAAGTAAAAGCAAAGGAAGTCAGAAATGGAAATCATTCATTTTCTTTTCATACCCATGTTACTGATACATAAACATGTCTTACATAGGGAATCAAGTAATGGGAATTGTATCAACTACTCCCCTAGTTGATCTCATTCCTTATTTTTCAGGGTATTTGATTACGAATTGTAACATGGAACCCGCATGATTTTTTTTATTCCTTATAGGCCCTGTTTGGTTTGCGGAAAAGATTTGATGGGAAATAATTTCCCATGCCGTCCCCAATGGATGGAAAATGGAAGATTTCCCATGTTTGGTAATCCTCGGAAAATAACTAGAAAATGTCACTTTATTTCCTTTCACATGTTTGGTTTGTATAGGAATATAAAACAAAGTTTGTTTAATTTTCCAACTATACCCATATGAAATCAAATAAAAATAGAATACATTTAATGCTATATTGTAATTCTAAATTGTTAATGGGGGACAAAATGGTCATGAAAAATGTGCATTTACTGTTGGCTCATTTTCGCAAACTTTCCCATGAGAAGGAAAACAAAACTCAAGGAGGGAGGAGGGCTTCACTTTCCCCCTTACTTTCTCATATGCCACGCAACCATTTCTCATGCTTAAACTTACCAAATATAAAAAAGCAATTGATTTCTCATACCCAAGCCTCATTTCCCATGAAGCAAACGGGGCCATATGGTAGTAAATACATGTGAAGTCATGAATTGAGGGTGTGTTTCTGTAATCAAAATCTGAATAAGGAGTTGGATTCCAATTACAGATTACTCATGTGTTTACTTCACATAAAAGAATAAAAATGCAAGTGGGATCCATACAAAATCAAGAATTCAACTTCTGATTTGGAAGAATTTGACTCTTTGGTGTGAGGTGATATTTTAATTCCTAAAGAACCAACCCATCAAGAGTTCATCATTTTTATCCATATATCCTCACACAATAAAAAAGAAATTCAAATTTGTCATTCACTTTAACCCAACAAAAAGGGCATTTAGTAATTGAACTGGTTTCAATTCTGATTTAAGTGAATTTACTAAATAACTTAAAGAAAATCAATACCATTTTCCTACCCTGATCCCAAATAGTTTAGTAAACAAATTCAATGTGAATCCATATTCTAATTCCTCCTCAATCCAATTCCTCCTATAACATGTTTACCAATTCGTAATCAGATTGAGAGGAATTGAATTGAAGAGGTTGGATCGAGGAAAATTAGATTCCGGATTCCTATTGAAGTTATTTACTAAACTATATGAATTGAGAAGAGTTAGATTTCAAATTCCTATTGAAGTTATTTACTAAACCATATGGACTTACTAAAATGTCATCGTTGTTGGGTTAAAGTAGATGACAAATTTGAAATTTCAAAAATTGTGTGACAATATAATAGATAAAAGAGATGGATTCCTAATGAGTTAGTTTTGCATGAATTAAAATACCACATCCCACTCAAGAATTGAATTCCTTCAAAATTAGGAATTCAATTCCTGATTTTATGTAGGCCCTACTTATTTTTTAATTATTTGATGTGAAGTAAACGTATGAATCCTCCATAATTGGAATTCAATTCTTAATTCAAATTCGAATTCTTGATTCACATTCGAAATCTTGATTTGTAAACACACCCGATTATGGATTAGTAAGCATGCCACAAAATTATTCTAATACTCATATGTGAGTAAACACAAGAGAACATGAATTGAAATAATTTCAATATGCATCCTTAATAAGTAAACATGCCATACAATTATTACTCACATTTTACAGTCATACATGAATTGTTGATAATTTAAAAATTTATACACAAACTTCTAAAGTCGATAAATTGATCCATTAGTACATATGTTAATTACCGACTTGGCAAGTATAAATCTCATTTTTTTGGAGTGAAGTGGACTCCTCATAGACTAAATTTTTATATCAAAAATTGGAAATATCAAAACTAAAATTATAAAACAAAAATAACACAAAAACATAAACACAAAAAAGAAAAGAAAAAAAAATCCTTCCAAAGCGAGGAACTTGCAGTTCAAGTGATTAAGAGTATCATTTACCTTACATATGATAATTAGTTAAAAACATTTACCCTTGCATATGATTTCCTAGATTCAATTTCCCGTCCCTCAATATCAATTGTATTAAAAAATCCTTCCAAACAACCGTCGTACTCCTCCCCTAACCAACCGATAGACCCAATCACCACCTTCCACCACGAACCTCAAACTCAAACACATAACCTCGGATGCAGAAGTGGAGGACAATTTGGAATTATGAGCATTTTTACCGTTTTGCCCTTGACCGAATTCACCTTCAAATATTGTCGTGGCCCTCGTGGCACTACGCGATTAGTTCACTCGCTTGTAATAATAAGCCCATCTGCATTCCAACAGATCACAAAGCCGTGTCCCTATCGGAAAGCAGTGATGACGATAATTGACGCAGGGCGGTAGAGAGAGTCCAAACAAAGTAAGGAAAGTAAAATTAAATTATAAAAACAAAGAAAGCGAGGCTACCAGGGCCCCCCCCGTTTGTATAAACAAGAACACTCTCTGAATCTCACACGCGTTTGCCCTTTCAGATTCCCTTCAGCTTCGCTCTGCTCGCTCTCTCTCTCTGCAAAGACCTTCACTGTGCTTCAGCAGGTAAGTTTCGTTTCAACGATCGCAAAGCTCATGGCTTCTTATCGACTATATATAAGAATAGTAATCTGATCCTGGGTTTAAGCTTAGCGCACCCATATTTGTTTTATTATGGGTATAAATTATTGGTTTTTGACTTCTTGTTTGATTGATTTGAGCCCTTTTGATTGATCGGGTGTTTTGGGTTGATAAACGCGCGGTTGGAGAGCTATTTGAGTCTAAAGTTAATTTGATTTAAGAATTTAAATTTTGTGTTTTGAGCTTCTGGGTTTTGTTTTAAGGTAAAATCCTCAATCGTTTTCGCTGGTTTGGTGAATCCAACAGTTGAACCCAAGCTTTCAATCGAGGAGAGCCTTTAGACTCAGCGGTATGGTCTTATTTGTTGTTGATTTGAATTGTATTGTTTTAGAAAAAGAATGTTTTTTTAGTCTCAAGAAGTAAAATTTGTAGAAACCTCTGACCCCTTGATGATTATTGGTGTGTATTTTTTTGTTGTTACATAAAAAAGGTTAAGACTTGGGCTTGGTTATAATGGGTTTTTAGTTCCATATATATTGCTTCAGATCACTGGCTGTTCTGGCTTTTGCACATGCGTTTATTCTCTGTTTGTTGGTTACTTTAATAGTAGGATCTGGTTTATTACTCTAGGATTGCTGAACCTAATCAAGCAACGATCTTTTGGTTGTTGTGAAGTTCATGCCTGTGAGTGTGCTTATTGATGCGAGCATATCTATGGATGTAAATAGGTTGAAAAGAAGCTGAATATCACATAGCATTCCATACTAAAGTCAAGAAAGCAACAAGTTTAGCTTGGTCAATGGCAGAGCTATAATACTTCGCATGTTATTTCAATCGCGATGTGTATAAAATATAGAAGAGTCTTCAACACATATCATTATGTATTTCAATTATACAACTACCGTGCTTGAAATCCTTGGATAAAATCCAACCTGTAAAGTCACAGAGGCTTAGAGCATGTAATAAATAGTACATTTTATTAATCATTGGATTTTAATCTGACAATTTGAACCATGGTATTATCTTAGTAAAATATTTAACATTATATGTCTGAAACACTCTGAAATATATACCTATATATTAATTAAGATTCCAAATCTCAAATCTGGAACTTCTCTGTGAGGTGCATGTATATTTATCTTGATGTTGTGTTGTAGGAAACATGATTAAGCTATTTAAAGTGAAGGAAAGGCAGAGGGAGATTGCAGCAAATGCCAATGGAAAACCACCTGTTAAGAAGCAAAGTGCAGGAGAATTACGTCTTCACAGAGGTATTCCATCACAAATTTTGAAATAAAAAAGGTTCTATAGGACGTAGTATCTCATTGTTCAAATTTGGTTAACACATAATAAAATTTTTCATTTTTAACTTCATTGGAATTCTAGCTATTCGTTACTTAATACTTTTGGATTATAATATGCAACATGCTCATGTAAAGTTTTTGACAACTCACATACTATGCATGAATGAAACTTGCTGAGGCATGCTTCTTCAGCTTTTAGTTTTGTATTCTTTACTTTTGGATGCAAAATTGCAGAGGCTTGGATGGGTAACTTTCTTATTGGAATTGATGTCAGAACTTGAAAGCACTCTTTCCAGACAAATGAACATAACTCTCGAAGAGAAACTAAAATATAAGACTTGTGAAAAAAAAAAGTTATAGATATAGCCTTATGTTCTTACTTTTTCTACTGTTCTCATCTTGTAGATATCAGTGAGCTGAACCTACAAAAAACATGTACCATATCATTTCCCAATGGCAAAGACGACTTGATGAACTTTGAGGTTACTGTTCGCCCTGATGAAGGATATTATTTGTAAGTGTTTATGTTATGCAAAACGCATGCCCCGTATTTGGTATGCTATTAAGTAAGATATGCACCTTAATGGTTATTTTCATTCAAAAATATTTTGAACATAAAAGCTTCAACTTCTCGGAGCATCTTGTGTCTTCTAAGCATGTATCAAGTAAGAAAGTCTTCTAAGATATGAAAATTACGGGGTGCTAGTATAGGGATATGCATTCTTAAATTAGATAGGTTTTAACTTCTTATCCTTTCATTTTCGTGTTTTGATCACTTAGTTTTATTATAATTACTTATACTTTTTTCGGGGAGGAGTGCAGTAAGTTTTGGTTTGAGAGTTTTAAGTGCTTAACTCAGTATCTTTCATCACAGAGGTGGCACATTTATGTTCACGTTTCAAGTTTCTCCTGTCTACCCTCATGAGGCGCCAAAGGTCAAGTGCAAGACAAAGGTACACTAGCATGCCCTATTTGCTAAACATGGTGCTTTTGTAGTTGAAGTTCCTACTTGTTCTCTTGTATGTATAAAGTCATCTTAACGGTATTTTCAACTTACAGGTCTACCATCCTAATATTGACTTGGAAGGAAATGTCTGCCTCAACATTCTAAGAGAAGACTGGAAACCTGTTTTGAATATCAACACTATAATATATGGACTATTTCATCTTTTTACGGTATTGATTATTCTTTCACAAGTTGATTCTCACAACTTGGCAAGTCTCTTTAATCACAAATTTATTCTTCTGCTTGCAGCAACCCAATTATGAAGATCCCCTTAATCATGATGCAGCAGCTGTTCTAAGGGATAACCCAAAGATGTTTGAGTCCAACGTGAGAAGGGCGATGGCTGGTGGGTATGTGGGGCAAACCTTATTCCCACGCTGCATGTAGGGCTGCCTGTATTTAAACACCAAATTCATCCTTAAATGGTTGGTCAAGGGCTGTACATTTGGTCGTTAAAGCTTCTATTCTAGTGTGCTGCTGGGACGCAAATTCTTCGGATCGGGCAAGGGTAAGAGAGAGTTCATACCTGTTGTAACTTTGTGAAATGTTTGTGATATTGGCTGGAAACATTATATATTTTTCGTAAGTGTGACGATGATCATTGGGAAATTCTAGAATTGAGGTTCAATCATGTATTTATTAAATTTGTTTCCTAAATTAAAATGGGAAAGAAGATGCTTTTTCCCCACCTTATTGCCCTAATTGTTTCCAGTTGCAAACCATATTGAATGCATGATGATAAGGAAGTTGCCTCAAGAAATCAAACTTAAGTTTCTCAAAGGATGGATGAATCTTGCTAATCCCAATTTCTAGATATAAATTATAATAGTGAAGTGTTTTAACTTGAAGCATTTAACTTTGAGAAGCACAAAAGTTAAAGGGACTTCCTAAAAAGACTGTAAAACTTCACGAACTTGAAACCTTGGACATCAGCAATTCAACATGAGGTTCTTTCAATTGGAATTGTGAAGTTACCACATCAGCAATTCCAACAAAATCGCCGAAGTTAAGAGCAAACACAATCTGCAAGTAGTTAAGAGCAGTTACTCTTGTATTTGAGGTTATGTGTTTAAATCTCCTTACTCTTGTATCTGAGATCTTGTGTTCAAATCTCCTTGCTGCCACTATCGTTTGTATAAAAAAAGCCAACCCAATAAGCTTTTATACTTAATAGACATATGCCAAGAAATAATAATTGTGGATAAGCCAAAATTTTACAAGGTGTGCATTTTTCCCTGCTCTTGTAATACTTCTGTAACACTGTGCAAGGTAATTGAGATTGAGAGGATGAGGCCGTTCATTTTAGATTGTGTTACCACACTCTTTCATTCAAGATGGTGTATTTCTATGGAATTTGGAAGACATAATATAAGAAATATGGAGTACGAACATGTCACAAGGGAGAAATATCATAAGCACTTGCCCAAGTGAACAACACGGTTTAGAAGCCATATACAATTAAAAGTCGAGAACAAATTACAATTAAGCTTCTAACTTTTTAGTATGACTGTCACACTATTACATGATGTTATCAATTTGCCCATGTTTTATGTAATAATAATGATATATCATAAGTTCATAATATATCAACCTTTAATATTAATTTTCTCATGTTTTATGTAAAAATAATAACTCTTAATTTTTCGATTTCACCGTCACACTACTGTATGATGTTATCAATCTGCTCATGTTTTATTTGTTAATAATACACCTAAGTCAATCAACCTCATGTAAACAGGGAACGCAGCCCATTATCTCTTATTTTTAAGAACACTCTTCAAAACAATTAAAGAAAATTAAAGAATTTTAATATGTACTTAAACTAAAATGCCAGCGAAGTTCTTGGAGCCAGAGGCTATAGTCCAGTCTGTCCAGACAGCTCGGGATTAAAGTCAAACGAACTCCAACTTCATTTCCACTAACTCCAAATCTTCACCAAGCTTCATTTCTCTTGGTCTTCTTGTTTATATTACTAAGCAAGCTACAATTCAGAATCTGAACACAGATTGCTTATCCATTTCCTTTTACAATAAGCTATCCATTGACCATTATTCTTTGATCAAAATCTTCAGCGAGAGCACAAAGTCTTGACATTTCTCAGCTTCTGAACTGTCCTACTGCACCATAATCGCAAACCCATTTTTTGAATTTTATGGGTAAAGGAGGTGGTTGTGTGCCAAGTAAGAACAGGCCACCCAAAGGCGTTTCTGATCAAGATCTTCGAAACCCAGAAAGCGATGGTCTTGTTTCAGACCAAAACCAACCCAAACCACACAAACAAACCCAATTGACCATGCGATTGCACAAAGACAGCTGAGGGTTTTCATAGTGTTTTACTCAATGTATGGGCATGTGGAGGTCTTGGCCAGGAGGATAAAGAAAGGGGTTGATTCCATTGATGGGGTTGAAGGGTTTCTGTACCGGGTTCCGGAGACGCTGTCCTCTGAAGTATTGGAGCAGATGAAGGTGCCCAAGAAAGATGGTAATGCAGATGAAGTGCCTGTGATATTGGCCGAGAGGTTGGTGGAGGCTGACGGGCTCTTATTCGGGTTTCCGACCCGGTATGGATCCATGGCTGCTCAGATGAAAGCCTTTTTTGACTCCACAGGGCACTTGTGGACGGAGCAGAGGCTTGCAGGTGTGCCTGCTGGGTTCTTTGTGAGTACTGGCACACAAGGTGGGGGGCAAGAGACCACTGCGTAAGTAAGACACCCTTGATTTTTGTTTTTTAGTACATTGTTTCAAGGGTTGTACTTTATTTTCTTCATGTTGGTTTTGGTGAATTTTGATTTGTTGGTATGCTGATACGAGTATTGTGCACTTTTTGATTCGTCATTAGCGTAAGATGAATTGGAAGTTGATATGTCAGAAAAAATATATTATTTCTTTTTGTTATGTGTAATTTAGCACGAGCATTGGAGTTTGTGTCTGAGCATTACTTGTATTATATGTAGATATCATATAGTGGTTGGTAGCTTTCCAATTTTAGATGTAGTTCCAATTTGATTTCAGAGAACAGAGAAGCGAAAGTATCACATGAAGTGTGCTTTCCTGAGTAGTAATTGGTCTTTTGAATTGCTTTGAAATGAGTGGGAGTTGGTAGCTTTCCAATTTGATTTCAGAGAACAGAGAAGTGAAAGTATCACATTAAGTGTGCTTTCCTGAGTAGGGTAATTGGTCTTTTGAATTGCTTTGAAATGAGTGAGAGAAGGGGGTTGGATGTCAAGGTTCTCATATAGTTCATCCATGGGAGAAAGGATGTGAAATGAAGGAACTTTCAACCCCTTTTCGAGACATCTCCTTTGGGTATAAATTATAAGGTGCTTGAATAAGAAACTTGTTTATTTAATTAAATTACCAAATATTAGAAAACTCGTTTTGTATTTCATGAGGTTATCTGAAAACTGTTGGAGATATTACAAAAGGTGCCCAAGAATTACATCCCGAATGAGGAACTCTTTGCAAACTTCATCATTGTCGGACCAGACGTAAATCAGCCACGAATGTTCCGGTTTTGTCAACTTTAAACCATCCAGTATATTTTATTTCCTATTTAGTAAGATTGACATCGATCCATTAGATCATAGTGCCTGTTAGAAGCTCCAGCTACAGCTTAATTGGTATTAAATTTTTGCCATACTGTAGGTCTGTGATTGAGTCTGATCTTTATCAGAAAAGACTGAAATGAGCTTATGGAAAGGAGAGGGTACCTCCACAAATATATCCCGTAGGTCCCGGCTAGTTTAAAGTCTCTGTTGATTATATGCATTATTGGCTTGTCAAATTATGTTACACTGGAAATTTGAGGAAGTAAATAAATAATGGATTCTGAATTTCTAAATCATGTTAACTTTTCTTTTGTGTTTTCCTATTTAGTTTGTCTATGTAAAACTCAAAAATATATATTCACAATAGATAAATCTGTATGCTTGGTTTGTTTCCAGCTCCTCTCTATGTCATGTAGCTGTTACCACATTGATTAATATCTTTATGTGATCAATCTCATCCACCTATAAATATGCTAATATTATATGTATTTCCTGCAGTTGGACAGCAATTACTCAGTTAGCACACCATGGAATGCTCTATGTTCCTATTGGTTACACATTTGGTGCCGGAATGTTTGAAATGGACTCTCTTAGAGGAGGGTCTCCATATGGTGCTGGTGTCCTTTCTGGTGATGGCACAAGGAAACCAAGTGAAACAGAGCTGGCTCTCGCAGAGCATCAAGGGAAATACATGGCTGGAATAGTCAAGAGGTTTGCACAGCCTTCTTTTCGTGCGCCAGGTCTTGGACTGGACTAGTTTTGACTTTTGATAGACCAACATTCTTGTGCATTTCCGTTGTTTTGTGATGGTCTTCTGATATCATGTGTTAATAGAAATTGGTTTTTTTGGTAAATGGTGTTGATAAATTTTAGATAGCTGAGAGTCCTATGGTTTTGAACAATTGTATACTATAGCAGTTTCTCATTGTTACTGGTTTCGACCATTGCTCATTAATATTGTTTCAGTTGTATATGATGTTTTATGTTGATTGAAACGTCATTATTCTCAATAAAATTGCAGTTGGTGTTCATTTATAACCATTTTTCTCAGTATTTCTTAGTTGAAACGCTATCTCCTCTGCAATGAGGCTGCTCTCCGAATTCTGACCCCATTCCAGAATTGGTGAGGCCTCATCCTCTCAATTACCTATAGCCCGTATGGTAGGCTGAATTATATAGCTGGATAGGATTCATTATCCTAGTCAAATGTGACCAACCAACTTTTGGTTTGGTAAAGGTTGATGTTGGAAGCTTTGAGACCTTCAGGCAATTTAGTCCAATGGTTCATCAAGAGATTCCTTAAATTTGCCAACTTCACAATCCCAAGTGGAAGCAACCTAATGCAGGAATTACTAATATCAAATGTTTCTAGGTCATAATAAAAATTCAGTACCTTCTCAAAGCATATGCAACATATTGGGTTTTCCATAAAAGTATATATTTATTAATAATAAGTCATCAAAACTGTACGAAATGATGTTTTACACCCTAATCTTGAACCTGCACACAACATAACCCCCACCCCACCTTTATGGAACAAGAAGATATCAGATATGAAAAAATTGGAAGTAAAGCCACAGAAATGACACTTTTTGCCAATGAGAGTGCCAGAAGAACATGAAGCTCAATATACTTCGATAGCAATGAAGCAAGGCATTGCTCTCTCCTATAATTATATGACTGCACATGAGTAACTCTAACATCAGAGATTTTAAAATACAATCGTACAAATACAACAAGCAAACTTCACAAACACTGGTTAGCAGGAAATCACAGTAACCCAGTGGTTTTACACTCCAATCTCAAAACAACAACATGTTTGCCCCTTACGACTCTTGAATAATGAAAGTGACCTTCCCCACTAGCTCAGCATTGCAGACAGATGGTTGGTCGGGATTCTTTGAACCGAAGGAAATGTTGCAGGATTTTCTCAACCTTCCTTCAATGAGTCATTTCTAGACCTTTTAAACTCCCATGGTGGTAAGCAGCCTTTATAGTGAGAATGTAGAAACAATGACGACATTGATACTTCCCTCTGAGGCATTGACATTGATGACAAGCAAGTGAAAGCACTTCTTAGTCTCTTTCTTTCACTTTCACATCTTTGGAAATTGGGGTCATGTGGAACAGTGGTCGTCTTAAGGGTGTCCGGGAGTATACAGTTGCACAGTGAACCTAAAAGGAAGAAGAAAAGATGAATAAAGTATGAATTGGTCTCACCAACACAATAATTCCTTAAGAAGATGAAGGTAAAGTATGTTCCAAAATTAAATACTCTTCAAGCTTGACACTGAACATATTTCTAGAAAAGGAGGCACTTTTTGCGTTACTTAATCTTTTTTCTGACAATAAATTACTATATATATTTTTCACTATGATGCAATATTTATACGAATGGTGAGCCTCATGGCATATTTGAGTGACTCATGAAAGCCTAGTGCTCTAAGGAGTTGCATGTGGCAGGATAAATCTACACGGAATTAAACCACAAAGATTTTCAGTTCAATCATTCTCCACGGTCAATTAATAGAAGTGTTTGGTCCTCATCATGATATTTGAGAAGAATACAATTATTGCAAGTCAAACATCAAATAAACAGTGGTTGTGAAAGACATGCCATATACCTATTCTTGCGAGTCGGTTGACCCATTTTGGTATTGGTTTTCCGGTGAGCTTATAACATATATCCTCACAGAAATGGTTGCAGTTCCTTACAATCAAGTGATACGAGTCACCATTGTAAATTGCAGATTGACGCTCCATGAACTCTCTAACCTGGAATGGATCCAAGCATGTCATGCCAATGAAAATTGACCTTCTAAACTTGAAGCCAGGGCATTGTCGAGGTTCAACCTCAAAGACACCACTTGATGAGTACTCATGCGCTCCAAAGGCATATTCTACACCATGAACTGTAAGCAAGCAAAAATGATCAATAAACATTGCATCACCTTCATAAACCTGGGACTCAGTAAAATTGGACACCAGTTTAAATTCATTAATCAGAAATTGCTTTTACAATCAAGAATTCTATTTGACCACATAATCTTCGGGGAGTGTAGGACTAGTATTTTCACAAAGCAACCACTAATATTGGATTTATCAGGAACTATGTACTGATTAAAGTATGCTAACCTTCTACCCCGGAGTGAAAGATACCAAGGCCTGCCCAATAGACATAGCCATTTGCTGGTGTCAAGTCATAGACATTCAGATAGACAGGTGCGCTCCCTGGAATGTAGCCTGCTGTCTTCACCTTTGGAAACATGCAAAAACGTGAGGCTGCTTTGCCTCTCAAACAAAGAGGCATAATAGAGTGCCAGCCATCCTTTGGTCCTGATTTCATGCTGAAGGGTGAAACCAGGAATCAATAAATACCTTGTCAAGACCTGGAAAAATCAACGTAAAGTAAATTATGACAAGATACACCATTTAATTGAAAATATTAAGGTCAAATAACATGTCTAGTTTATAATTTCTTTTTGTATCTATAATAACCTAAAAGATCAAGATTGGCACTCATACGTATCACATCACTATTTATATTGAAATAAAAGAACATCTTTTTACAAGAGAAATAGCAATATTTTTCTTCTCTCTCTCATGCGCGAGAGAAATCATGGTATTATTCTCTCATCTCCCTACATAATTGGTCTTATTGCAGCAAAACGCCTCATGATATTGGAGCAAAGAATATTTCCTTTGTCATTTGAAATTCTCAATTAGTTTGGCGTATAACAAGTCACAAATCTTAATATCTAGTTATGTTATACTTTCAGAGTTTGCAATATGTAACTTGAGATGAGAAACTTTGACTACCTCACCCAGTTCAGTTTTAAGATGGCTTTTTTGCACCAAAACTGTGGTAATACTGGTTTCATTCATGTTAATTGCATAATGCAAATGGATATGTATCTTGCCATAGTTCTATCTTATCAATAATACAATAGTATTCTATAGCCAAGTAGTGATATTCTGTACAACATGTCAAACCAACCTAAGACGTACCAATCTCTCAGCTTTAGGAGTTTCAAAAGTTTTTTAAGTAGGAGGTTACCAGCATCAGAAATGTTTTAACTGTAGCATACATCCCATGGTGCATGGGCATCAAGAACTTTCTTGATGGAGATCCCCATTGAAATTTGGAGTGGATCTCAAGTCTAATCAGATAGGACCAACGTCAATAGCAATTTTGAACTGTTAACATGATGTAGGATATGGGTGAATTATAGATTTAGGTAGTTTAGCGGAAGCGAAAACAATGAAAAAAACATAAAATCGATGGATGAAGATGCCTTGGCTAGCTTCACACCAAGAATTCTCCAATCTCTGGAAAATAAACTTTACTCAATAACTCAAATCTCAAATCCCCATAATGAATTACATAGAAGGGGTAGTTACAGCAAACTAAAACCTAGAGACAATAGGATAAAAATCCCTTTCTAAAACAGAAATCCTAATCCAAATATAAGTAAACCATATCCTAGTCAAACAAGAAATCCAGAAAGTAGAAAACTTAGGAAACAAGTTAGAAACACAGGAATCATCTACTGCTCCAAAATTGCAGGATTTGAAGACCGAATTAAATAATTTCCTTTTCCATCTCTTTCATTTGTAAGCCCAATGGGTTTGACAAAGATGTCCTCATCAAAACGTCTTGTCTGTAAAACCTTACAGGATATCGACTGTAAAACCTTACTCATTTAGCCTTCTTCTTTTGTTCTTATAAAAAAACTGAAAATTTACAGCGGATTCCATCTGGGAAAATTAACTGAAATTCAATAAGTGCAACCCAAAAAGACAATCTTTGAAAGAAGCAGATCAGATTCAATAGGAAACCCACGAAGTAAATATTTAGAGAAAGAAAATCAAGAATGTGCCGACTAAACTTCACCAAAACTACAATGACAGAGACACAGGTATGGTGAAATGCCACAAGCAAATCAAGAAAGGCAAAAACTTGACAAAATAATCCAAACCCAATGGAGAAAATTGAAAAACCAGAGAAACCCACTAACCTCTTTGAAGACTGACACTCATCACCAAGTGAAGCCAATGCATTCACCGCCAAGACGCAAAGGAGCCATTTTCAAAATTCAAAGAGCACAAGAGAGCACCTGAGAGTGGAGTGTGTGTAGCTGAAACCTACACATTATTTTTGTTCTTCCTGGCAGAATGAAAGCTGGCGGAGCACAGAAACTACTGTCCTTTGTGAAGCCCAATAAGGAAAGAGAGAGAAAAACTGATCTGATAAAGAAAAAAAATTGAAATGCTAAAATTTGAGCAATTGTGGCTAAAGGTAAAAATTGTGAAAGAAACTTGTCTCTTTCACTTTGGGAAACTTTGACTGGCTTGCTTTATTTTTGTCTCTGCTTCTATTTTAGCAAACTGTTGGGTCCGCTGCCATAACCCATCTTTTATAAAGATGCGCTTTTTTCTTCTCCTTTTTTTGGTGTTCTTGTGTTCTGAAAATCAAAATTAAAAATTGGGTTCTAATTCTTTTTCTTTTCTTACATAACTAAATATTGAGAAGGCGGAATCGAACTTGGGACTTCAGGTGCTCAAACAAATGCTCTTAATCACTTAAACTCCAAACCCCTCGCGTTCTATAATTATTTTTATGTGTATGCACTTCAAAATAAGCCTTTTGACATCATTACAATTGGGTTATAATGTTTTCATATAATTAAAAGTGGGTGCAAATAACACTCTCCAAAAGTAGTACTGTTTCTATCCTAATGATCAGTGCTTGAATGAATTAGAGTGGGCCCTAACACAAGCTGTCTACAATTGTGAGTCCCACAAATGGATCTTGTGTTAATATCTACAGTTCAAAATACCTGCAAGATGCTGTACAGATTTCTTATACATTGCATGAACCCACCATTTATTTGTGCACTGTACACCAGGGCTCTAGATGATGAATGATTATAATTATAAACTATCAATTGTCTGAATAATTTTTGTGGGCATATATAACACAGAAGTTTGTCTTGACAGGCACACCTTTGAGAGAAGAAGTATTTTGTTTTTTTGTTATTATTCTATTGGTTCATTTGTGATCTATTATGCTAGAGTATGGTCAGCCATGGAATGTGAATAGTGATCACTGATCTGTCATGTATTTATTGGTCACGCGTGTCTTGGTATACTGAGTGACAAAAGAGGAAGCAAGTTTGTGCGTATGCACTGAATTGGTAACAGATTGATGAATGGTATTATTGTTGCTTCATCTTAATATAGAAATGTTATGAAGGTGATAACAGAGAAAATCTTTGGTTGAATCTAATTGATATGGAAAAATTCTATGTGGCAGAAGAAAGTGGGATGAAAGTGGTCAGTTGAGGGGGAAGGGCACATGCTTACAACTACAGGATTTTTCCGCAATTTATGCCTCAACTATATATAATTAAAGAGGTAAGATGATGGAGGGGACCAAGATCACTTCATGCATGTGAATAGCTCGGTCTCTGAAAGTGATGGCAACAACCATGCCATTGATGTAGAGTTGGAGGTCACTTGCAAGTTGCGTATGATATGGAATGAGTGTAACCTTGGGTTTCTACTGGTTTGGGAGCACATTGATGTTTATTATTTGCATGCTAATCATCGTATTTATGGCTAATTATGACTTAGTGGTTTCATATTCTAAATTATCTTGCATGTATGGATCTTTAAGTGATGGAAAACATATAAATTCTGTTTTGGATGGAGTTTGTTGAATCAAGTATTGTGTGACGCAACATAATAAAGGGAAGACAATCAAGTGATAATCTTAGAACATGAAAGCTTGAAATCCGCCAGAAAGTTGAGAGAGACCTCAAAGTTATTGAGACTAGAATAATATGAATAACAATCCTAATCACATAACTAAAGTTACTATTAGTACTACCTCAAACCCTAGAATCACTAGGAAGTTTTTTTTATTTTTTGATACAAGCGATATTCTACTTTAATTTAACCTAAACTACGGGGAGAGGGATTCGAACTCGAGTGACGAGTGGGAAGCACATATGCTCTAGCCAACTTGGCTAAACCCATGTATGCACTAAGAAGCTTAGTTGCAAGCAAAATGCAAATAAATTTTATGCACTAGGAAGCTTATTTGCAAGCAAAATACAAATAAATATTCAGAAGTACCCTTGAAACTTAAAATGTTATTTTAACCTAATAAAGAATGTTACTTAGCCTAAAAAGTAGTGAATTTGACTAGTCTCATTGTTCTCCTTGAAACGCTTGATCATGGACCCAAATCAAAGTTCAAATGCCAAACAAGGCTGACCCATTGATTTTGGAGGCCTTGGACAAAAATGAAAAATGAGGCGTTTTTTGTTTAACACTTATCTCATTTTGAACAAAAATTGTAATAAAAACTTTGAACTTAGGTGGTAAGTAGGTTAGTTTAAGTAAAAAAAGACATTATTTCAAAAGTTCAAAATATAAAGAAAAATAAAAACTTTAAATTATATGAAAGAAAAAGAAAAAGTTCAAAATAAAGCCCAAAAAACATTAGTTTTATATATATATATAGAGTTCAAATTTCCTGTTACCATTTCTCCCGTGCCCACCTGTTACCCATCTAACTTTTTGACATCAGTCCTTCCACTTAACTCTTAAGTTAACAGTGTTAAGTAATTAAATTAAAAATGAAAACTAGTAATTGAAGGGGAAAAAAAAGGCCCAAGAGCGAACTCCCTCCCACCACCCCCCAATCCTCAGCAACCCCAAACCAGACGGCCACCAAAACTCCCACCCACCCCATCCAGCCGGCAGCAACCCCCTCTCCTTCTCACCGCCGGCAAAGCGTTTGCCTCCTTTTCTCTACCTCTGTCCCCCCTTCTCTCTCTCTCTCTCTCTCTCTCTGCTTCCCTCTCGATCTCCCTCTCTTTCAAAGAAGAAGAGCAGGGGAAGAATATAGATCTTGATCCAAATCTCTCTGCAGCCTGCAACTGACGAGGTAGTCTTTTAACTTAGTTTTTTATTTTTATTTTTTTATAATCTTAATTTGCTGCTGTTGTGATGAATTATGTGGTAATGGTTGTGTATGCTGTGTAATTTGCTTTTTTCTTTTCTTGTTTCTGTTTCCTGCCATTTGTGTTCATAGATCATAGATCTGCATACGTTATCTGGGTTTTCTGGAGTTACGGGGTTTCTGGATTGATGTTTGTTTATTCATGTTTAGGAAGGAAGAAATGTAATGGGTTTGTGTTTTCCTGTTCAATTTAATTTTTTTGTAGGATTTTTGTTATCTGAGACATGGATAGGGACCTCCCCAATATAAAGAGATGGGTTGTGATATATCCTGTTTATATTAATTCAAAGAAAACCGTAGCTGAAGGGAGACGAATAAGTGTCGAGAAAGCGTGTGAGAGTCCTACTTGCGCTGAAATCGGTGATTGCTGCAGCCATTTCAAGCTCCCATTTGCAATTGAGGTTTGCAATCATTACATATGCACCATCTGTATCTTAGAATTTATGCATAGAGTCCCAGCAGTGGGTGTGAGTGGTACTAATATATGCATTTTGTTTGTTTGAATGATGTAGATAGATAAGGCTTATCCACGGGATTTTATGCAAATAGGGAGAGTGAGGGTCTTGCTGAAAAGGGAAGATGGAACTCCATTTAATCCAGCCATTACAACCAGTAAGTATTGCTTAACAACTACTGCTCGCACCTTTAACTTTATGAACTTCTGTAATTATCAATTGCTTCTTTGAATGTGCAACATACTCGTTTAATCTGATCACTTAATACCGGTTAGAATAAATGTGGTTTTTTGAGCATCCCTCACATAATGTTTTTGATACTGGGCAAGTAGAGAATTGTTGTTTTGACAGAGATGTATGTGTTAAGGAAAATATTGAATGGCACCCACTCTTTTATGGCAGCATTATGGTCTCAAAACTGCTTGCAAAGAGCTCCATTACAAATGTTTGAATCAGATATTCTGCTTTCAAATCTGAGTTTGACAGTACATTGATTATATCAGCTCCCAAAAAGAAATAAACCTCTTTTCCTCTAGTTCACGTTTAGCTGGCCATTTCTTCCTGAAAGTTTTGGAATTTTTGCCTGTGACCAAATCATTGTAACCTGGTGTAACAAAAGCATTAGCATTGATACATGATAATTTTTACACGCATTAAGTGGTTCACTGTGATGTGTGGCGCTACTATTCCGTTTTCAGGAGAAGAAAAAGCAGAATTAGTTCTCTATTTTTCTATCAAGGTTAGGAGCATCAGTTAGTAATGATTTTCTGGTAAAATGTCATGCAACAGTAATGCATCAATTAATGAAAGATTTTCGGAGGGGACAGTGAAATAAGTTCCCTCAATTATAGCTAGTCCATTTTTCTTTCCCTGACTGCATATGATTAATAGTGAGGGGGAATATTGTAGGGAGAAAATTTCAATTACTATTCTTTTTAATCCTTGGTTTGAGGTATAACTCATCTTGTTGGCAGTTGTAGCCAGATACAGTCATTATGCATGTTGCTACAAAAAACTGTTGTGATATTTGGCAGTTCGTAGCTGCTCTCTACGCATTTTTGTATAAATATTTTCCGGAGTTCCATCAAGTTACCGTCAGTTTACTATCACCTTATACATAGGCTTTGACTAATCCGTGACTCAAGCTGTGTTATGCTTCTGAGTTGTCCATTCTATCATTTCTAGCCACCCCTTTCGGGTTTTCATGCTTTGGATTGTCACGCTTTGGGCGGGGCTGGTAATGGGAATGACATGTAGGGCAATAGAGATCCTTGTCTCAAGCGTTGGGGCATAATAAGTCCATGATCATCTTTGAACAACTGGTTCTTAGCAGTGTCAGCATCTACAAAGAGAGTTCAGGTCGGAACAGCTTGGTTTTGGGAAATCAGGAATAAATAGGGTTATGTTTAGATAATGGCCTTTGTTTTTTAAGTTGTTTCAGTGAACGTTTGAAATTGATTGCTTTGTCGGGTTGTCTCATTAATCCAGGGAAGGATGTCTTCGCATTTTTGCATAGTTTAGCTAAAAGAGATATCTTTTCTTGCGCCTTTTGATTTATAATTATATTCATTATTCTTTTTTTTTGGGTGACTATTTGCAGGGAAACAGCTGATGCTCAAAGTTGCCGAGTTGGTTCCTAGACATCCTGGCAGGACTAAGAAGCAGGAGCCTGCTGCATCCGCATCAACTGCTGGACCATCCAAATCTGGGAAACATGGAAAGAAAAAGAGATAGCTCCAGAGTCTCACAAATCACTCATAACTTTCCCTTTGACATTAAACTCTACTGGAATGCAAAGGCTCCCATTTAACAGGATCCTAATTTTCAATCAGTCGAAACTCAATGCCAGTTTAGACATTATACCTTGGTTATGGTTGAAATTACATACACAACATAAACCAACATATGTGTAGAGGATGATTTATTTGGTTTGGTTTAACATTTCCTTCTTTTGGGAAAGTTGGAGATAGTTTTGTTATATTTAATTTGGATTTTAAATTTTTTTAATAGCTAAATTTACAAAATAGTCCATGTCATATCAACAAGTTATCGGTTTTACTAACCAAATTCCACATGGAATGAGGTAACGTGGAATACGGAATGAAGCCCCATGGATGCATGGAAGTTTAGAGGGGATGGTGAGATTTGACACAAAACACATAAGCAATCCATGGATGCATGGAAGTTTAGAGGGGACAGTGAGATTTGACACAAAGCACATTAGCAAAACAATCGATAAGCTTTCCCACCACAGTGGTGGTGGACTCCCCCTTCTCCCTGCGGTGCTCATGGCACGCAGGATTGAACCTAGTGGTTTTCTTTTCTCCAATGTAAGTTAATAAAGAAGTTTTCTTTTCTCCAATGTAAGTTAATAAAGAAGTTTTATTTTAATTTTTTATGGGAAGAGACCAAATCTATAACTAAATACAGAATAATAAAAAAGCAAAAACAAAAAGCAAGAAAAGATCGGGACCGCTTTTTAATTTTTAGTTTTCTGTAAAAGAAGAAGAAAGACGTGTATTTCCGAATTGCGACAGAGTAGAAACGAAAGGTAGAAATAGCACGGCTGGAAGGTAATGCTTGTGGATCGTTGGATATCCTCCACAAACGATCCTAACCGTTCGTTTTTTAACTTCGTTCGTAGAGGAAAGATCCCATATACCAAACCCACTCAGCACTCAATACTCTCTCTCTCTCTCTCTCTCTCGCTTGGCGCCACAAACACAGCCACAGGTCTTTCTCTCTCTTAATTGGGTTTGTGGTATTTGATTTTTTCGTTTTTCTTTTTAACTTGTTTAAAAATCAATAATTTTTTTCAGGTTCTTGTTCCGCTCTACTTTTTGTTGTTATGATGTTTGTAAGCAGTATAGATATTGATTTTTCCTTGTTTTATATATAGATATATTTCTGTGAGAATTTTAGCATTGAAAAGTTGATATTGATTGTTTTCATTGTTCTATATTTCCAATAATTTCTGGTGGGTTGTCTGAGAAAATTTATGTCAATATGTTTAGTTTTGGCTGCCTATTCAATTTGAAACTGCAAAGTAAATGCTATGAAATTTATCTGTTGTTAATCTCAGCTCAGAGTGGAAGGGCTTTGGTATTCTTATCCTAAAAAAATAAAGATTGGAAATTTGAACTCAGAACTGTGTGTTCAATTAAGAACCACTTTGTTTGTTTGCCTTTCTTTTTTTGTTTAATGGACCTGTAATGCATGCTTTGTCTGATTTAAGTTCTTTTCCTTATCTTAGTCTTTTAGTTATTGGAGTTCATAAACAGTAGGATTGCAATACCTTCCACACTAATGGGGACTAGGGAAAGCAGTGAACCTTCAACTCAGGTGCGGCTCTCTCTCTCTCTCTCTCTCTCTCTCTCTCTCTCTCTCTCTCTCTCTCTCCAGATTATTATGCATATCCTAATGTAATTTTATAATATCTCCCCTGCCTTAGTTTCTTCCTCTTGGCCATTCTTCATACCAAACTTCAGTAGGGTTTGCCAAAATCCCATACAAATATATATATTGTGTATGAAGGGTTATGATTTTGAGTTTTTGGTGGTAAAATTAAAAATAAAAACCAGATACTTGCATTCCCCAAGGAATTTTTTTCTATATCATGATTAAGCCAAGTTACTTGCACATTGATGACTGAATACATTTTTGCAACCAATTAAACTAAATGGGCAGGGTGCGCCTTTTGAAATTCAGAAGAAAGAGGAAACGTTTTTTGATGAGTACACAGAATCATTGACAATATACGAGGAAGGCTCAGTAGGTACGGAGTTTGTAGGTAATGGATTGGCGGAAAGTGAGAAGACAATTTCTTTTTCTGGAAATAATGGTGATGGTGCTTCACAAAGGTATTGTTAATTCCTCTCCATGATTAATCCCTTCCCTAACATGTATTTGTATATATTCATGCAAAGGTTTTCTTTTAACAGTGCTGCAAGCAGAGGTGAGGACTCATCAGATGAGAGTGGTGACGCTAATCGAGTATGTCATTCGAATTAATCTTATGTTCAATAGATTTAAATTTAAAAATTTTCCTGGGTTACTGGTATGGTCTAGCAGACCAGATTAAATACTGTTCCTCTGAAGAGATTGTGTGACTGACAGATAGAACACATGATGAGTATACTAATATGGTTCAAACCTTTTCTTTTTCTTTCCAGGATTTTTCAGCAACTCAAAATCAAATGCTTGACCTGATGCATCAAGATGGTATGCTTTGAAGATCAATGCTTTCATTAGTTAAACCCATTTAATTGATGATTTCTGGTGCTTGAACTTGAACAGGGGATGCTGAGAATAATTCTACAGACCAGTATGGTGGTACAAATACAGATTTGGCATTTCAGGATTTTGGGGTAAACGTGCCTGAGACCCATTTGGATTTGGGAATGGGCCTCAATGTCTCCAGCAGTCAAGCCATACGTACCAAGGTGAGGCAAAATCTATCTGGTTCCTCAGCTGTAGTGGCTTCAGCAATGATGCTTGTATGAGAAATCATGCATGTGAACTGGATTAATAACTGGATTCATTTTTATTTTGAAAGTTTGATTTCATGTTTTCATCAATTGTTTTTGTGTTTTTTTTTCTTTTCTGCTATGATCTAGAGTCTAGCATACTGTGTTTCTCAGGTACAATAATAACTTTAGAATTGTTGATGCATACTGTGGTTGGAGACTAGCAGAGTACTCATCAATTATTTTCCTTTCTATTTTTATTTTTATTTTTTGGATAGAGCATCAATGTTTGAGAAGAGCTATCATGTTGACCTTTTAAAGTTATTTTTTATATTGGTAAATCTTGATGATTGTTTTATCAGCAATTGTAGTTCCACCATAGATGTGCACTATAGAACCTTCTATGTAGACTGCTTCTATAATCCCATGTTTAAATTTTCACTCTAGACAGATTCACAGGTTTGAATTTGGCACACATGATTCATAGAATTACAAACTTGTCTGCTTATAAGAAAAGAGAGAATATTTTACAGGGACATATGCAATGAAAAATGCTCTTATCATCTTCATTTGTATAGTCTGAGTCCTTTGTGATATGGACTTATGATCCTTTGGATTAGCTATCATTCTTGTAAACTTTAACAGTTCTATTCACTTCTATCAACTGGCATAAGTCTATGCAACTCTTGTTCTTTTGTTGACCCCTTCTGTTGCTTTGACAGGAAGATTATGAACAGAGAATAGAAAAGAGAAAGCAGTCTAATAGGGAGTCAGCTAAGAGGTCAAGATTACGCAGACAGGTAACGTACTTATGCAGTCTTTCGGATGACAACATGTTTGTATGTGTATAATTTATAGAGGTTCCATTTATCGTGTGTGTATGTGTGTGTGCACATTTATATATAGAGGTTTCATTTATCAGTCATCTTTCTTTCCTTGTATTATAGGGTGAGAGGTTTTTGGATCAGTTTTGTTTGTTACCTTTGTGAATGTTTAGAATGCACACTTTTATTAACCAAATTAAATTCGGACAAATAGAGGGAAATCACTGCATAATAAAAGCCTAAACTTTCAGTATGAAGCAAACAAGACCTAATTGTGAAAATGCATGATATCAAAGTTTTTAAAAAAATTTCTAGAACAAAAAGTACAGCTTCTATCAAACACTACTTGGATCCTAAGGTTCAATATTGCCACTCTAGGAAAACAGTGTCTTGGTTTCTATGCAAGGATTTGCTCATGTCTCTTATGGATTTGGAGAGGGGTGATAAAATGTACAAGGATGTTTGAACTTTCAAACCAGCATGAACTCAACCTTTCTTAGCTTTGAACTCTTGACGGTTGATATAAGCACTCTCTGGAATGGGGATTTAAAATTTCATGGAAATACAAGATGTACCTCAACCTTTTTCTAATTTTGAACTTTTGAGTGCTTATATAAATGGTCAGAATGAGTGAACTTTCAGATATCAGCTAACTGTATAGATATTAGTTGATGTGCGTAGGTACCACCCTTAGGCAGTAGTAAACATATTTTGGATATTCCATCATGGGCAGCCTGAACTTTTGTTTTTCATATTACTGGTATCATAATTAAGAAAGCTAATGTGGAATTCATTGAGTAAAAATTGAAATTTCCTCCACCTAATTCTGTGTTAGCCTTCCTCGAAAATATTCTGGTATTAGTAGATTGGGGATGTATCGTTTATATCAGCTGCAGAAGTTCATACTACAGCAAAAAGATGTTTTAAACATGATAAATTAGAAAGGTCATCTAAGCTCTGTCAATCTGCGTTCCTCATTCATTGCTTGTATGTATCTCTTTGTCTGAGACATAAAGCACCAAAGAGGAACAGAATAGAATAGAATAGAATAACCAATTGTGTACCCCATATAGGCCCAAACACCAATAACACTGTGATTACAAAACAATGGAATCAGAAGTGATGCAAACGATTCTGCCTATGCAAAAGGAAAAAAACATATTTGGCCTGGATATTGAAGTATTGGCTTAGCTTGAAAAGCAGTCTTTCCTGTAATAGTAGGGCTACTTAGGGGCATCTTGTGGTTGCATATTATAGAACTTATAGAGTAACCTTTGCTGGAGCCTTGTGACTATTAGTTTCATTCTGGTATCATCCTGTAGAATTGTGATTGAAAAGGGATAAGAAAAAGATTTGGTACAGTATATTTCAAGAGTAGGCAAGGATTGTCTCTTTGTTTTTAGTTGATTTTGACTTCTTAGTTGACTGGTCTCATTTGTTACAAAAGTTTACTTATTTCACCCTTAGGCAATAGCTGTGCCTGTGCTTCATATGATATTTTGGTTTTGTATTTCTTCCCAGCAGGAATGTGAGAAACTACGAGCAACTGCGGAGACACTGCAGAGTGAAATTTCCGAGATCCCACAAAAGTTATGGAGGCATTCTGAGAAATGTGAGGAACTCAATGAAGAAAACAATGACATAATTGTTCGTCATCTAAACTCTACTTATTCATTATCGTTTGCCCTTGTTTTACCCCATTTGTGAATTTAGCTTAAACTATTCACTTTCAATATGATATTCATTATTTTCCTTTTATTTACTTTCTAATGCTGGAAGAAAGAAACAATTCATGAAATTGATTTGCCAATGGAACAGGATGAACTAGAGAAGACATATGGTCCAGATGCCGTTTCTGATCTCAAAGCTGCGAAAGTTGAGTCTTTTGATGGCAAAAGCAACAGCCCTGAACCTTTTGATGGCGAAAGCAACAGCGCTGAACCGAAAATTCCAAGCAGAGACAACTCAAGTCCTGATCCTCTAATGCTTAGTTTGGGGCTATAACCACTCTGCTGATTTTTTTTCTTTTTATTGTAGTTGAAAGCTCCAGAATGACAAGAAGAAAGGAAGAAAAATATTCCCATCTCATCATTTTCGCCTGTTTTGTGCCAACTGATGGTTTTCTACTAAATGTTGTGAGACTTGGATTGGAGAATGGAACTGTAAAGATTTTTCGAATTATAAATAGAAATGGCCATAGTTGAAACAAAAATAAGTCTCTTGTGTTTTTTTTTGGGTGTATATATACAAGTAAATTACACACATATTTTCGCGCAAGAGCACATAGAATTTTTATGTAAATAGAATGGCCTCTGCAGTGTTGAAACAAAAGTAAGTCTGTTTGTGCATGCAAGTAAAATGCACAATTTTATTCATGCAATTTTGATGTAAATAAACGTGTGCCTAGTAAAGGAGTACTAAGCTAACGAAATCCACATATGGATATTTTTTTTCCTTTTCTTAAATGGCAGAGGATTGACGTTCCTAAAATAATTCAAAAATAAGTCTTTAAGCCTACAACTCTTGGATATTGTTTTGACCACAAGTATACGGAAAATTTACGTTACAATTCTTTTGAACACAAAGTATCAAAATGTCCCAAGCGTGTATATATGATTAGCGGGAACAATCTCTTACCAATCTGAACCATCAGGAAAAGGTTTCAGAGCATCCTGCTTCCTGTTGACATAAAATTCCACAATTGCTAACATTCTAGGAAGCTTATCAGGATGGTAATTAACATGAACGATTACCGGCTTCAACTTGCTCAGATTAGCGTCTTTCCTCACAGTTTTGAAGAGGACCTTGCTATTCATGAAAAGATAGAAATCCATAGTTCTCCTGGAAGCATGAAGCCCCTCATACCCAGGATGAGAAGGGAAGAAGAGTTCCTCATTGAAAACTGCCTGGTCCCAAGCCTGCTCCCTGGACAGTCGATTGGCCACACGATCCAACAGCTCAAATGAAGGAATTGTCGGTCTAATGTAGAAGAAACCAGAGTTATAAACCCACATACGCATTGTATGTGCATATCGAGCCCAGCCCATTCCTGGCTCATCAAAGACGTCGTTATAGCCATAAGCAGTCCTATTGTCATGACCATCAGTCATCGACTCTACATCTGAATCACGGTACAGATAAAAAAAAGGGTTTTGCAAGTACACAATATCAACATCTGACAAAAGAACACTATATCCCAGCTGCAAAAACTCCCTCAAAATACGAAATTTCAACCCAGAGACAGCATGGTTCCCTCCAGTCCTCGCAACTGAATCAATGACTTTATCGGGGTCTCTCTTATAAACTGGAACATCTTTTGATTCACAGTACTTTGCAACTTCTTCATCCAAAGCAACAACCAGATAATTGGATATGCCCACTCTCTTAATATTAGTGAACCATACCTCCAACATTTGCTTCACATTTGAATTTGCAAGTGCAACTATAAGCTCTCTATTAACAGCTACTTTCTCCAAAATCTTTGCTAATCTTGGATTCACAGATTCATCAGGAAGAACACTAGGGTTGGTTCTTAAGCCTTTGACAGTACCAAAAGGCCCTGCTTTCTTCTGATCACCTAACACAAGAACCTGTTTTTCTGCCTGATCTTTCCTTTGTTCCGCCAACCGAATCTTTTCAGTCAATTCCCTAACCTGCTTCTTCAACTTGGCATTTTTCTCAGAAGCCGCCACAAACTCTGATTTCAACAGGTTGATCCGTTCAGATGATTCACACATGGTAGAACCAACCTAGTACACAAATGACCAAAAATATAAATATCATCATGTTGACCCTCAAAATTACACATTAAACTATGTTGATCTGTTCTAAGATTAGATATTGCAATTCAGAACTCCAGAGAAGCTATATGTATGGCAATTAAAGGATCACAAGAAGCCCACAATCATGTTAACTGAGTATTCATAAATGATAGTCGTCTCATGTCAAAGGTTTACAAAATGCCCAAATGGGGAATGAAAGCGCTTGAAAGCATACATCAAAATTCAAATCAAACTAACTTCTCAGTATGCCTAGCATATAATCTGAATTCCAGCATTGGGACAGAGTATACACACAAATTAATTGCATTTACTGGGTTTCAATCAAAAGTCAATCCACCAAAATCTCAAGTCAACGGGCTTCATTTGTCATCAAATTGAAAAATCCCAATCACCAATCATCCATTCATAGAAAATGCTCAAAATTTCAAGCACTCAGCAATCACTCAAACAGAGAACGAGAAAAATAAGAAAATTAAGTAAACAAAGAACAACCCAAATTAAAAAAAAAGATTAAGAACAACCTGAGCAATGGATTTGACGAAGCGGTGATTGAGAATAGGGGCCGGATTGGAAATAAAAACAAAGCCATTGGGGAAGCACAAGGCGAAGACACAGCCGAGAAGGACTCCGATTGCTATGGCAACGCCGACCCTCGATTTGCAGAAAGACTGCGCTTTCTCTCGGCGACCCACCATGCCTTTTTCCTTCACAGCAATGCTTGAGTCTTCAGAGAGAGAGAGAGAGAGAGAGAGAAGCAGAGAGCGTAAGCTGGTACTTGCCAACTTCAGACAATGGTTGACTAGAGCAATGAAGAAGGCATATGGGTTTTAAAATATTAATTAATTTTGGTTTATTATTCTAATTTATCCTGATTATAGTTAAATTTCAAGGGGCGGGTAAATGCAACAGTCTCCTTGAATTGACATTTACATTTAGAGAATAATAATAATAATAATGTGATGAAATTTAAATTTATTTATAATAAAATAGACTATTATTACTAAAATAAATTGTCATTAGCATCACAAAATGCTCATTAGTTTTTTTTATTTAAAAAAAACTTAGCAGCACTTGTAGTCATCGAACAATTTGATTCTTTTAATCGGAAGGTTCAAATTTTGACATTCAAATTTTTTTTAGGCCAAAAGTTATTTTTAGTCTCTGTAGTTTGGCACTTCAACTACTTTTGACCCTGTAATTTCAATTCCGTCAATTTTGCCATTGTAGTTTCGTATTTGTAGCAATTCAAGGACATGTTAGTATTCTTGTCAATTTCTTTAACGATGTAAGGGGCAATTTCGTAAATCCAAAACCCTTGAGGCTCTGTTTGGTTCACAGAACGAATTTGAAGGGAAATAATTTCCCATGTCATTTCTTAAGGGATGGGAAATGAAATCTTCATTTTTCATGTTTGGTAATACTAGAAAAATAACCGGGAGATATCACTTTATTTCCTTTCTCATGTTTGTTTGAGTAGGAATGGAAAACAAAGTTTGATAAATTTTCAATTATACACATATTAAATGAAATAAAAAAAGAATGCATTTAATAATATATTGTAATTCTAAATTGTTAATGGGGACAAAATGGTCATGAAAAATATTTATTTAATATTGGCTCATTTTCCTAAACTTTTCCATGAAGAGGGAAAACAAAACCCAAGTTGAGAGGATGACTTTATTTTCCCCCTTACTTTCCCATGGGCCAAGCAATGGTTTCCTATGCATGGACTTACCAAACATGGGAAAACAATTAATTTCTGATCCCCAAGTCTCCTTTCCCATAAACCAAACGGGGCCTGAGAGTAAAAGCTTGTTTGAAATTCTCCTCATTTCATATCAGGGCTCGAAATTCAACCACTACTCCCAATTTTTGAAGAACCCTAAATCCAAATGACCAATTTCAAGTCCTAATATGAAATTGGGAGAGTTTCATACGAGCTTTTATGTTCAAGGATTTTGGGTTGACGAAATTGCACCTTGTGCCGTCAAAGAAATTGATAGGAATACTAACTTGTCCTTGAATTGCTACAAATACGAAACTATAGAGTCAAAATTGATGGAATTGAAACTACATGGTCAAAAGTGGTTGAAGTGCCAAACTACATAGACCAAAATGACTTTTACCCTTTTTTTATGTCATCCTCGAACACTGTTGGTCATTGTTGGTCAATGGTTTTCCCATACGCAAACCTTTGTGAAATCAAATTGGATGTTAAACGAGGTGAAGAGTAAAATTCATGTCAAGAATAATAGTCAAAGATCAATTCTTGAATGAGAACTTGGGTTCCACAAGCAACTAGAAACATAAAATATGTGTATTATGTACAAGATCTATTGAGACCCAAAAAGAAAAAAGCTTCAACACCTTAACTACCAGATCTATGAAACATGTATTTCTGGTCACGGAAACTGGTGAATGCTCTACTCATCTTTTTCTGATTCAGAGTCCTGAGTTTGTTTCGCAGGGTCTTCAATCGCAGGACTTGCTTGCCTTATCCCGGGGGGCACAACACCCTTAACCACCCCACTTGCTGATTCAAGAGAAAAGGGAAGAAAACAAAATATAAGTAGGTAATCTTATCAAATAATTTGTGAAATTTTCTTGTTAACAATACCACATGTATCATATTAGATATATATCACTAACATACGTAAATAGTCCAAATCGTTCCCATCCATACCTGCTGCCAAAACCTTCATGAAAAGCACCCTCGCAAACTGTAAATCTCCTTGGTGTGAACTGATGAATTTACTCTGCAAGTTCAGAATCTATTAGCCCTCAAGAATGTGCAACCATATACAAGCCTCAGCAGCACTCAGAAGTGGACAAGAAAAGTTAATGTAAACATGAGGTCTCAATGAGTGGAATGATGATGCAGAATACCATTCGACAATAAATTTTACCATATCTACAATAATTTCAGGAAATAGCAAGGCTGGTTGAACAAACACTTACGTCATAAGAATATCAAAGAAGTAATTACCATTTGACCATATATAAAATCCACAGCTTGATCAAGTCGGGCTTGATGCCTCAGAAAGAACGGACGCAGAAGGCTTGTATACAGATGCTTTGCCCCCTGTTAAACAGCAAGCAGTTAGTCAAGCTCTTTAAGAGCTCACTTAAGTGTACTTTTTGGAGTATTTTCTAAACCTTCATAGTATCAGAAAAACTGAACATACACGATGCACTTAGTTTTTGGAGTGAAACAGAAAAAGAAAAAGAAAAAGAAAAAGAAGCACTGGTAAAGAATGTAAGTTTTCTCAAACTAAAACCAATACCACTACCAAAGAAATCAATTGCAAGCTGGAATTAACAAGAAGCACTACATAGTAAAAGCAATTTAGCCGTGCTTACATTTGAGGATGGAAGTTGTAACCAAACAAGAAATGCAAACTTCACATGGTAGTAGAGCGGAAACCTGATGAAATGACGCAAAGAGCCTTCATCAGATTACAATAACTCATTCAGGGAAGCAGTAAAACAAAATTTTAAACTTGAAACTACTGCTTACTAGAATAGCAACACTTGTGATATTGTTAAACACAACTATAATTCCAGAAATATGAAGACAAATGCAACAAAAACTGTGCTTATTTAGGATTGTAAATGAGAATTCAACAGTCTAATCTATTCAAACAAATCATACGTAATGTTTCCATAGATGTCATTATTCAAACCAACCTTCCATCAAGAGTTGGACCAACTCCTTCAAAGTCATCTAGCAAGAAGAAGAATATTGACAAACACAAATGCACCCAGAGAGGAAATAGAATAGGGGAGAAAGAAAGAGAGGGAGAAGAGGAGAAAGCAGAGAAGAGAAGAAGGAAAAACAAAGCGGGTGGTAATCTGATTTAAATTTCAAATTAAGGTCTGTCATTAGAGTTATGCCATAGTCTAATTTATTGAGGTCAACGGAAATCAACTCAAATCACATACCCTAATCACATCAATTCCCATTGAATACCTCCATATCTCCATCAAATACTTAGAACAAGGGAAATATCTAACCCCTAAAGAGAGATCACAACTTTCCATTAAATGAAAGACCTTAAGGTTAGGCTTCAAACTCTATTTTCTCAAAGGCTATGGTTCCCACAGTCTGTTTTGTATAAGAGTACTTTATATTCATATATGAAAATTGAAGAAGAATCATGTTATATAGAAAACTTTACCAGGACAGAATCTTGTCTGAAAATACTTCTGCAATACTGAAAGATCCATAAGCTGCAAGTAGCAAAAAAACAAGTCAACACTAAAAAAGAACAAGAAAACCCTGGACAATGCAATTATAATGCGGACTTCTACAATAGGTTGCCACCAGCAACTAGAACTGGGGAAAGAACCAAATACCAAAACAAGGAACTCACTGATCTGCACCAGTTTAACACATACCTGCGTTAATAAAATCCTCTCTAGTAGTCGTGCATTTTTCTGCCAATCTTGTACCTTAAGCGTCTCAAAGTTAGGTATCTAATGGAATGTGGCGTTCTTCGCCACAACATTTCTTGCTTTGTACTTTTTCTCCTCCATATATTGTCTAATAAGAAGATGATCCCTATGGGGGTTTTCCCTAAAATTTCTTTCTACAGGCTATCTTAGGAGGGTAGAAAAAGAATTCAATTTAAGGGAATAAACCACCTACCCAGAAATTCTTTGTGTATGCGATATTAATCTCATAAAGGAACAATTAAAAACATGCCTCCAGTCAATTCATTGAAAACACATTAACAATCCATTAGAGGGTATCTAAATTTCTCAAAAATATCCCAATATTGATCTCATAGTAGTCTTACAAAGGAACTAACAATTGTGGTAAGGATCAAAGATAGTGTATTTGGAAGAAAACAAAATTAGAAACGGGATTTCTGACCTGCCCAATAAAGGAGCCACCTTTGTTGCTCTGCTTGATCCTTATTCTCAATAGCTTTAAACGTTGAGTAAACGGGTAAAGCAATCCCCACAGAGCAGCTGCACAAACCATTAGTCAACATTTGCTTATCTCAACAAAATACACTACTAATTTGCTAACCAAGTATAGAAACAGTGAAAGAACTATAAACTCTGAAGCCTAAAAAGGAATTAACAAAGCAATAAAAACCCAAAAAAAAGAAAAAGAAAAAAGTTTACCAGGCAGTCCGGACAAGCACGTTGGAACCAAAAGGGCAAAGCAGTACGCGCAAACCGACCTGCACGAAGCAACGACGCTTTACAATTTAACAAGTAAAACATTTTATGGCGGAAAAATATGGTTCGTTGTTGAAAGGAACAAGATCAAATACACTAGAGAGAGAGAGATCGCTGACCTCGCCTGGGAGAGCCATGAAACAGAGTGATACAGAAAATAAAAATAAAAACAACACTATTTGTAAGAGGGTTCTTTGAATATTAATAACAAGAGAATTTGTTCGTTGGCCTTCTTTTTCAGTTTTTCATGATTTTTATTATTTTTATTTTTACGTTGGAGCGGATATTTCTTTTTCTTTTTTTCTTAGGGGATGGGGGAGCGGATAGTTAATTGGATAAACTGTAATTATATTCCATTTATACACGGAAAATACTTTCCTCCCTTTCCTAGTAACATTTTTGCTAATGGCAATATGATATGTTTGCAGAAGTTTTTCTTTTGTGTTTTTAATGAATTATTTTTACATACGTGTCAAACTGTAATTGTCAGGAAGAAAGCAAGATCTTTTGCCGAAATGGAGTATAACTAAGGTTTATATCAACAACCTTTTGTGTATTAGAGAGAGAGCATTTTGGCTCACCCTACTTAATTGCCTAGAATTACCACCACATTAGTGATTGTGGTAGATATCTTCTTGTGCAAAAACACTCCAAGACCTTGTCATTGATGAACTACGTAATCGACACACACAAAACCACTTGAGAATAAACTGGCTGTGTTGAGATGATGAAATTCAAATTATGACCCTCAATGGATGCTCAAGATATCTGATATAATTCTTCAGCCAATAAGGCCAAGGTAAAATTTATAGCCTCTGTTCTTGGGTGAGTTTTGTCACCAGAAATAAATATATGAACTCCATTTTCCACGTATAACCAACTGCAACCAGCAGCCTTCTTGGCCTCCTTTCCTTTCATCTTCTTCCTTATTCTGCAAACCTCATCCCAATTTCCTTCTGCAGCATATAAATTAGCCAACTGTACATACCGATCACCAGTGTCTCCTTCAAGTTTTAATAGCCTCTCCTCTGCCTCTCTAGCAAGTATGGTATTTCCATTTACCCTACAAGCATTCAAGAATGCCCCCCATATAATGGTGTCTGATTCTATAGGAATCTTTCTCATCAATTCTTTTGCCTTGTCAAGTTGGTTAGCCCTCCCGTACAAATCAATTATACAAGCATAGTGCTCAATTTCGGGCAATACATTGTAATCCTTTTTCATGGAGTAGAAGAACTGCTCACCCAATTCCACCAAACAAGAGTGTCGACAAGCTGATAGAATTGCTAAAAAGGTGACTACATCAGGTTTAATACCTCGCTCCAACATTTCATTGAAGATCTGGATAGCTTTATTTTCATGCCCATGGTGAGCATAACCAGCTAACATCACATTGTAAAGGATTATATCCCTATCAGAGCCTCTCTTGAAAAGTTTTTCTGCGTAGGTGATACTCCCAGATTTTGAGTACATATCAACCAAAGCACTAAACAACTTCTTATCCACTTCGATCCTGCTCCTTAAGATGTACGCATGAATCTGCTTTCCAGGATCCAGGGCAGCTTTTATTGCGCAGGCACCAAGAACACTGATGAGAATTGCAGCATCAGGAACTATTGATTCCTTCGCCCTGAACTCACTTAAAAGTTCAAATACAGCTTCACATTTCTGTGATTTGAGATATCCAGAAAACAAAGCTGTCCATACAACAGTGCTCTTTTCAGCCAATGAATCAAAAAGTCTCCGTGCTTCTACTAGGTTACTACGAAAGGCATGGCCCATAATCATTGACGTGACCGAGAAGGAATTTTCAAACCCCATTGCTGCGTGAACTGACTTTGCATACTTCATATTGCCACACTTACAGTAGACATCAACAATTCCACTGAGTATAAATGAATTCGAAGTCATCCCGTTCTTCAACACCCAAGCATGGACTTCCTTTCCATGTTTGCAGCTCCTCAGGCCAGAGCAAGCACTTAAAACACTAGCAAAAGTGTGCTCATTCTGCCTAAATCCATTCTCTGCCATACGGACAAAAAGATTGAGTGCTTCTTCTTCAAAACCATTCTGGGCATACCCTGCAATCAATGTGTTCCAAGACACATTATCATTCAGCTCCGGTTCTGTCCAAAATAGATTAACTGCCTCTTCCAATTTTCCTTCTCTGCAACAAGCCGCCACCATTGCATTCTTCGAAACCAAGTCAACCACCCCTCTATGTCCACTAAAAACCTGCCACGCTTCTTGAAAATATCCACACTTAGAATACATATCAATAAGTGAGCTCACCGCGAACCCACTTGAATCATTGGCAGTTTTCACCATAAACGAATGCAACTCCCTTCCATAAGACACCACTTCTAACTTTGCAGTCAAGTTCAGCATAGTTGTGAGACTAATCTCATCAATTCTAATCCCACAATCCAGTGAATTCATTTCACTGAATAGCTCAAGCGCACAATCCTCATACCCGTCTGCGCTGACGTAACCAGATAACAGTGAATTATAAGTGACCAAATCCTTGTACGAAGCAGAGTCAAATAACTGGCGGGCTCGCTTCAAGTTTTGTGCTTTTATGTGAGCGGATATAATGGCATTCCAAGAGAAAACGTTTCGTTGGGGCATTTCGTCGAACAGTTTCTGGGCTTCTCGAAAAAGGCCATTTCTGGAATACAAGTGTATGAGTTGATTGGAAGTGAAAATGGTTAGCGGAAAACCGGCTTTTATGGCTTGAACGTGATATATAAGACCATCTTTTAGAAATTGCATTTATATACAAGTTGCTTATCCCTGTCCCTCTGCTTTGATGGCGTTTTCTGAACCAGGAAATATTATAAAGAAAAGTATAACTGCGTATTTTGAATTGAAGGTGCCAAACCAATCGACTCAAACGACATCAACAATGACGTCGTTAGGGGAGTGCATGGTTGTTATCTGCTATGAACCAAAACGAGGTCGTCTGTTTCTTTTTCTTTTTTTCATTATTTAAATTTTTTATTCAATAATATTTGAAAAACACATATACAATATGTGAATTTTACTTTATTACTTAATAGTTTATAAATAAAAAAATGGTGCATTAAACATGAAGAATATGCATGTACATGAATAGTATGTGTATGAAAAATAGAAGTATTAGAAAAAAAAAGTACATACATATGTGTATAATACGCAAATTTACTAACTAGAGCAAAGATTCATATTATTTTCATATTTCTTTTTCTTCCGTATGAAATATTATTATTATTATTATTATTATTATTTTGGTGATGCAGGCCAAAACCAATATTATTTTCATATAGAATTTTTGTAGAAATGTCACTTGAACTTATACCTCATTTTCAATTTGTCACCTTAAAGAAAAATTTAAGAGAAATGTCACCTTAATTTTTCAAAATCCATGATTTGTCATCTAACTTTAACACCATCCAATTTTCCATCTATTTTTATGGATATTTTAGTCTTTCCATTTTCAAGGAAAAAAAAGAGAGAAAAAATAGAACTCTCTCTCCTTTTCTCCCCCACCCCAACCCAACTCGCCCCCAAAGCACATCGCACATGACCCCCCATCACCCCTCTCTTCTCTCTCTCTGAGTATGTATAAAAAAATTATGGTGTTCATTAAGCATGTTTGAAATTTGCAGATACCTGATTTAAACTACTTAAGCTTCCCACCAAAAATCCAATCCCTTTGTTGTCTTCATGGTTTCATTAACTTACGCCATTGTGTTTATGTTGAAGAATCTAAAGTTTTCTTGGTCACCATTTGTTATGTAGGCTAGCAAATTGTTGGTTTGGTAGTTGTCCTTCCACAAATTTTCAATATTCAAATGGAAAAATACCAAAAAGAAAAAAAAGAAGAAGAAAAAGGTGGGCTGAGGGAATTTGTGTATGGAGGGTTGGTGTTCCATGGTAGAGAGAGGAGGAAGGTGAAGAGGGAAGGGGGAAGGGGGAATGGAGGAAGGGGCTATGAAGAGGGAAGGAGGAATGGATATCAAGGTGGGCGAGGTTGGTTGGAGCTGCCGGTGGGGCATAGGGGATGGGGGAAGGTGGGAAATTTTTTTTTCTTTCCAATTTTAATTGTTTAAAAGATATACATTTTTTATATAATGATTTTTCCATTTTTCAAAATACCATTGAAATAGAAAGACTAAAATACCCTTAAAAATGGATGGAAAACTAGTTAGTGTTAAAGTTAGATGACAAATCATGGATTTTGAAAAATTAAGGTGACATTTTTCTTAAATTTTTCTTTAAATTGACAAATTGAAACTAAGGTATAAGTTCAAATAACATTTCTACAAAAATCCCTTTTCATATTTCCATAGATAACAAATAAAGAAATATCTAAAAATGGAAATTGGTACCATGGTAAGATTGTTATACGGTTCATTGAAATTTCATGTTTGTATAATGGTAAGATTGCTACAGTTAAAATGGTAAGTATATTCTTGTGCAGTGAAATTTCATGTACAGTTCATTGAAATTTCCACCCTTCATCCAACTCTGACAATAGTCAACAACTTCACAATATGTTGAATCGGATCAGATAATGAAATGATGTCTCCTTGACAACATTAATGGATGAAGAACATTAGCAGAAAACAAATATTGGCATGGTTCCTCAAGTGAAAGTTTCCCTCTGATTTACAACAATCTAACTGATTCAGCTACAACAATCTAACCATTCAGCTTGATTTGCAGTTCCATGGTTTTACGGCATTGATTGATGGAACACAACTTTGGCAGCCGAGTATACCGATCTTGCGTCATCTGCAAGGAAAATAATTGCACAACAATCAACATATAGAGCCTTGCATCAAATAATGGAATCTCTTTCATTCATGTAAAACCACCAGAAGTTACAATGGTTTTGCCTATACAGAAAGACGATAATATTCATGAAAATGAATTAGACAGGATGCCCCTCAGAAATGGGTTCACAAATATTTTATTTTCCAACTTGTTAACATGAGACGAATAAAGCTATGTGTGTGTGTGTGTGTGTGTGGTAACTGGGTTTACTAATTACCATTCTGTGTCATCTCAAGCATCACATTTTGGAGTACAAGATATTTCAGTGATTTAACAATACCTTGAAATTCTGCCATTAGGACATCTTAGTTGTCTAATGCTCTGCAGTAATCACGTACACCAAATGGTATGGGGAAAATATGAACACTCATGCAATTTCATACACACTTTATTTCCTTTTTACGCAAAATATACTACCAGATGGGGTTAAGTAGGATACCTAGCTATATGCAAAATACACGTTTGAACTCGTACCTGCAATTGCAGCCAAATTAAATACAGAAGGCACATTGGTCTCTGCCTCAACTGCAGCTTTGGAAGCTGCAATACCAACTGCCAGACTTTGCACGACATCTAAACCTGCACAAATAGAAGCAATAGTTCCCCCAACCAAGCAATCACCAGCCCCTGTAAGCCTCACCACTGATGCAGGAAGTGCAGGAAAATGCACAGCAAAGAGAAAAGAGCTTCTCTCAGAATCCGGAGGACTCGAGAACAGATTTGAAGGACAACTTGCAGTCACGGTATTAAATAATTCTCCATTGGAAGCATACTGTTTGATTCCCTCACAACCAATCCTCATGAAGCTTGGCCCTCCTCTAGAGCATAAGAACACACCATCTGAACCAACTGTCACAACAACTATTTTAATACCCTTCTCTAGCAAAACCCAGACTGCAGATTTTAGCATATGGAACAAGGTTTCTGTTGAACATTTCTTTCTGCTATTGTTCCTTTCAATTGGACGATACACATTTCCACCAGACAAATTATTTGCCATGGCAACAAGTTCATCTTCATTGGGTGAAGCAAAAGTTACCTGCACATAGTAACCAGCATGTTAGTTGCAAGGGGTTGAACCCAAGTAACTTACAAACAACAACATGATTATACAATGAGATCCATCTCTGTAAAATTTTATTATGTATTAGCTCCCGTACATGTCAAGGGAGGCCGTAAGGTAACCAGTTCTTTTTTTTCCACACCCCCTCATCCCCAGGCAGAAAAAGATACCAAAAAAAGGATAAGCACTTGTAGATACTCATCAACTACAACTATAATCATAAAAAGGGTGTAACCCGTTCTACGAGTGACCTGGATCTAACATTTAAGAAGAATTAATAGCAATGTGGACATAAGAGCAAAAGGATAACACTCACATACTTGACAACTGAACTGATTCTTCTAGATTTTGCTACTGATACAGGTTCAAACCACACCGGAATTTCGCATTCTGCTGCCACTGAAATGAACCCAAAATAAGAGAAAATAAAATTGAGAATTGAGTAAAAGATACTGAGAGAGGGAGAGAGGGAGAGAGGGAGATCTAAAGTAAAATGTAATAAATACACTGGCAAGAAGCTTTTAGCGCAGAAAGATTCAGGTTTGCATCAATCATCAACACTGGAGCAGAGTGTATATTATATTTGAACTGCTGGATCCACTCAGGTGTTAGAAATTTTTCCTGTTCCAGGGTCATCATGTAAGCATTAAATGTTCTGAACATGCCATTCTTAACTTAAGCTTTGTTTATGTTTTCAATTTAACCACTCTCATAAATAAACAAATTTCTCTTATTGAACTTGAACTTACGATGGCTTCTACACTTGCAACAGCAGCAGCCAACTCCCCACTAACATCAAGTAAATTGCACACAACAGGAGTCTCAATGTTTTGGTGCTTCCAAATCCCTAATCCAAAACCATCATAACATATTAATACACGAGTATGAATTGTGCTGAGATGCTTTAATACTTTCAAGATAAAGGAAAAAAGACTCAATTTTGATTGTAAATTATCCCTGACAGACACACTGAAAGATAAGTCAAACTGACTAAATTTTTGTTGTAAATAGAATATCTAAAATCTTATTGCAATCTGGAGTTATAACTATAATCAAAAGTCACCGTAGGTGAAAGGTAAATTGCAAACATAATAGATGACCTTCAGTAGATAGCCCAGAAGACTTCCAGTGATCCAACAATAAGTTTCCTAATGAAAAAGAATATGTGTAACTTGTCAGTTTCACAAGTCATATGTGCTGTACAAAAAAATGTGATTATGTTGCAAACACAATTCAGATAAAAATATATTAGAAAAACAGTCAAAGCCTAGTGAATAACCCTAAGATTCAAATAAATTAATTTTGGATATATGGTTATCAATCGTAACATCAGCTTTGGACTACGGAGTGATTACAATGAGCACTCCAATTTGCAGTATGTTCCGATTGCTACTTAAATCACCAGAAGCCTGGCAACATTACGATATATCAAAAAAATTATATAAAAAAGTATCCCAGCCCAAAAGCATTACTTGATATTTTCCAACTAAGCATCCAAACAATTCTTATCAATTTCACAAAGTACTATTGATGATGAAACCTGCATGGCTCTTGTGGTTGTGGAGGTTGGAAAGCAGTAATTGTAATAATAAACAAAAAAAGGTCAAAAGAGCACCTGGCATGTCAAGCCCCAAGGCACTAATCATGAATGGCTTTGCTCCTAGCTTTGATATGCACTCAGCAACATTCCTTGCTACCCCTCCTAGTACATAGCTGACCTGAGCAGATGATTCCCATGGATACACGCAAATAAATATCTAATAAAAGAACAATCTTTTCCAATATATACCCCTGCAGAAAGATTCTTTCTGTGTAGCAGTGAAAACCAATTTTTCATCATTTCAAACGTAAACTTCAAGGCACAATTACTTAAACTTAGCCCTTGGAAGTGACAGAATTTGAAACGTCAAAATAGAGCAAATCAATATCCAATAAAAGAAGAAGAAAAATAATCCCAACATGCAGCCCTGCTGAAGACTCTTTATTAGCAGTGAGAACCAAATCTTCTTCATCTCAAAGCATGAACTTCAAGGTACAATTCTGAAAACTAGGATTGGGGGTACTACAATTTGAAGTCTCAAAATACTCAATCAAACTCACATGAAAATTACCATTTTCCATCTGGGCATAATTCATTAGCCATTTTATATTCTAAACTAAGGGAATTGGAGCAGAAGAACTTTTCCAGAAGCTTGAAATTGTTTAGCAAAGTGGAATCTAAAATACTAAATTGAATTAACTTACCAGACACAAAGAGTACATTTACAATGTTGGACATACAATTCCAATTCACCTAAAAGAAAAACTTTATATGAAAAGTTTCATTCAAACAAAAATTGTGGGGGAAGAAAACTAAACTTACCTTACCTGGAGTAGTGGTTCTGGGATTTGCAGGGATAGAAGGTGTGGCATGAATGTCCAACACCATTCCTCCTATCACCACAGGCTCTGCCTCCTCACTCTTCACTTGCCCATTACTTAATAACAGCACCTTGCAGTAGTTAAAAACTCAAACTTTATCAAATACAACATCTTTTCTTTTTCCACCAAGCTTCTCAGTACATAGTGCAAAAGATAACCCAACAAAAAATTAAAGAAGAAAAATGGAAAAAGGTTGTGGATGAATCAATCTCACCTGCTGCAGACCGTGATTAGCTTGAGGTGGTAATACAAGGTGACGAGAAATACAATCCAATCGCCTCCTTGCACTCTTCTCCATTGTCGTCGTCTGGTTTACAAGTACAGCTTCTGAATCTTGCTCTCAGTCAGACTTCACGGAGACATAATTGTTCTTGGGCTCTCATCAAAATCCTACAGGATAGTTTTAGTTGAAGCCCATAAGGTTGATAATGGCCTTGACGAGATTGGGCTGAACTGTGTTTATATGTATGGGCTAAGTTTGCTGTTGTTCGAGTCTTGAGCGTGGATCATCGCGCACACACCAATTTGAGCACTGCACCCCTCCATAGAATCTAAATTTTTTCCCAACTTTTCAATTTTGACCCTTTCATTGATGTTTCTGAAAACTTCATAAGTAGTAATAAAAAATTTCAAAAATGTCAAAAATAAAATTGTCATTGTTGTCCTCATCTCATACATCTTCGTTGAGTATAGTGAGTAAATTTTTTAGCGTGAATGGTAGGGCTCTTTATTCTTTGACAACATGTCATAGGGTTTATTTGGAATTGTTGTTTTAGGAAATACTTCTACTCATAAGCACCTTTATTATTAAAACGTTAAATTTTTTTATTTATAAAAAATCCAAGTGTTTTTTAGAGAAATACATGCTATGTGAAGCAAGTGCTGTGACTCAAAAACACTTTTAAATATTTATGTCAAACGTTATCGAAAACGTTTTTGACCGTCATAAAGCGTTTTTAAGAGTTTCATAATCACTTCTGAACAGGAAATTAGATGTATAATTAGTTAGGCCACGTATTGTAAGAAATGAGCTTATCATGATAGTTAGAGGACCCAAATTGGAATCACATGTCCTCCAATACTCAAAAGAATAAAGGGAAAAAAAAGAGCTCGTGAGTCATCGGCCTCAAGTCAAGGTTAGGATGAGGCAAAATCTGAAGTCATAATATTAGGCACATGTGTTGTGAGAACAAGTAAAGTAATATAAACAAAAGGAAAAAAAGTAGGTCGTTAATCCCTTTTTGAAATTGTCCGAGTACACAATCCAGAAGGCCTCCTCTCTTTCTCCTCCATTTGAGACAATAACAGTAGTAAACACTTATCAGTTCGCCAGTTATCCACATTGACCACCGTCAACATAATTGCCTGCCCCGTGCTTATCCAACCGCCCACCCTAGCCTATCCTTCTTTTTTGGCCGCCTTGTAAACAGTGCATGCATGCATTTCCACTTGGTTCACTTCTTTATATTCTAACCCTTTTAAGAAATTTTGGTTCGTAATTAAGAAAATAGTGCTGTTATTTCCACTTATCTGTCTTATTTTCCCATTTACATTATCTTTCCACCTACCATATAAATTTTAAAAAATACAATCCTATTTTTCCACCCATTTCCTCATTATTACCTCATTTCCTCATTATTACCTCATTTCCTTTCTCCTTTTATTCTCTCTACTCATGTCTTCTCTCTCTCTCCAAAGGCCATAAATCTAATGAACTTTGCAGTAAAAAATATAAAACACCCATGCAAAACACATGGGAATGTCAAAGAGTACAAAGCCAAACAAATAAGGGAAAAACAACAATACTCGCCCAATTCACATGTCTCATGCTCAAATTTGTTAAAAGTCCAAGTTCAATCATCATCATATGCTATTGTTCATCTAGTTATGACAGTAGACCTTGTTTCTCTTTCTTTTTCCTTAAGTCCTTTTAAGTCATTTTATAATATGGTTAAATTTGTCTTTAAAAGTTTAAAGATAAGGTGGGTGGAAATAAAGCACTTTTAAGAAAATTTGAGAAGATCTTCTTCATGCCCCTATTTAGGACGGTCTTCCACTTATCTTGATAAGTATGTGGGGAGTTTTATTAGACACTCATCTTTCGTAATACAACTACTAATTGTATACTAACCATTAACCTAAAAAAAGCCTGAATCATGAGCAGGGACATTCCTTCGTCCACCCGGGTGGACTTGATATTCTATAGTCCAATATTAATACTCAGTCCACCAAAGCACACTTCCACACACCCCATCCTGTGATCCCACCCATAGAAAATCTTTTTTTTTCTTTAGTTAATTAATATTTATTACTCAGTCTTTTTCAAAAAACACACATTTCTAGAGAACGTACTTTACTTTTTTTGTCCCAAAAAAAAAAACAAAAAACTTTACCTTTTCTAGTTTACATAAAATGCCATTTCTTTTTTCTTTTTTTTTCCTTATAAATTTTGGCTACTTCTTCTCATTTTTATTTTCCAAGTTGGCTTGGATGGATTAAAATGGTTCAGTTTTTTTTTCCTTCTTCTTTTATAATGGATAATAAATGCTTTCAATTCTTTTCCTTTCATGGAGAAGTTTATCATGTAATTGCTAATTGACCTTAAAATTCATATTTCACTAAAATGCACTCGTACCGTCAAGTTTTCTAAGTTTGTATATAAGATAAATTTAGCCCACCCTATTTTCAAATCCTTAGTCCATCCCTGATCATGAGATCGAAGATATATAAACCTCGAAACTCTTAGCTTATAACTTCTCACCCACCAGATTATTTTGAGTACATTCACTTAACAAAATAAAAGAATCAAAGTACCAAGGCACCAACCCAACCCATGAAGTCCATTTACTCAAATGGAATACCATCTTTGATGAATTTTGGCATTTGAATTTTGAAATGATAAAGTGGGGTTCTGCCGAAATTTTTTGCAAACTTCAGTATGATGCTATTGAAAACCATTAACATTTTCAGTTTGGGTAGCGGTATCGTGTAACTTGGTTAGCAAACTTAAATGTATTCTCCAATGTTCGGTTTTGGTGTATCGAACGAAAGCACAAACAACTGGATTTATAAATCGTAAAAACTTCAACAAAACTGAAGAATTTTGAATTCATGTACTTCATTTGGAGGCTCATATATAGGATTTAAAGTCCCATTTATAAAAAATAACATTTACTTTCATCAACTTGTGAGTGTGAGAGAGCTAACGGTAGGGCTATGGTTTATTAAAAGTGGGATTTTGGGATGGATTGTCAACAAATAAGTTTGGATTTAAAAACAACTTGGTCTTCAATAGTAGTCATTTTATGTTATATTAATTTTTTAGGGGTCAACCTGCCAACTCGCTAAAATACCTGTTTATTAAATGGGTTGTGTCAACCTATGTAATACCTGCCAACCTGCTAAGAAATGAAAGGAAATGGAGACTTCAGCATACACATAAGGGGTTTCTAACCCCTGCCACTTTCATTCCTCTCCAACACCTTATCCACTATACTACAGACAACGTTGTGATTATATGCTACACTATTTGATATTTATAATGTTTCTACAAGCTGTTTTTTTTAAAGAACTAGAATTTCACATGTCTTTCTTTTTTCCTTTCGTTCTTTTCTTGAAAACATGGGTGTGTAGCTCGAGGTGGAAATAAGGGGAGAAAAAAAAATCAGAAATGGGTGTCATAATAATGGATGTCTATAAAAGGAAACAAGGGGAGAAAAAAAATCACAACTCAAAAAACAAAAAAACTATCTTGACCAATTTTCTTCCTTCTCATTTCTCTCAATCTAAACCTATCTCCTCAAACTCAGAAATAAAATGGCCTCTTCATTCCCATTTTCTCTCTATCTAAACCTAGCTCCTCTAACATAGACATAGGTGCTAAAATATGAAAACTATGAGAGAATATTTGTTTGTGGGAATTTTCTATGTATTCTTCTCCTTGTAGGAGGTCATATTTATAATACAACGAAACTTGAATGGGCAAGTAAATAATAAATTCCTAAATCTATTTACAATAGGAAATCAATAATTAAAGTAAATCAATTATAATTATAATAGAAATTCTTGGTGTGTAAGGAAAGTAAGTCAATATCAACAAGTCATGCCAATAATAGGGGCAAAGGGCTGCACCAGTGTGGACGCCCTACTTTGCTTCCTCACGAGGACCAGTTATCATAAACGACTCATTACTTCTTGACAATGATGTTGCCATTGGAGATGTGAGAAGTTTGGTGGCTCTCAGGGATGTGCGCGTGCTGGGAACAAAGGATGATAACAAGGTGGCGAGTGATGCCATGACACTGAGCGTGCAAAGTGTCGTGTCAGTGGCAAATGTGGGTCATCGCCTCATTATGAAATCTCATGAGGTGCAAGTGCTAAGAGCTCAGTTGGTTGTAGAGTGAAATTTGATTGAAGATTGTCAGCGTGTTATAAAGAGTTTGAAGAGGGAAAAGGCAAAGATGACGGAGGAGAATCGACATCAGCTTGAAATATTGCAGGAAGAGAATCAAAAGCTGTCAAAGATGGTAGATTATTACTCTCAAGACATGCAAAAGTAGCTGGAGGCCTTAGATCGACCGGGTAAACGCAAGCAACGAGATCATGACACAAGTTATGCTCAAGCTAAAGGTGTGATCTTTGGGAGCTCAAGTGATGAGCCCCAAGTAGCTGTGCGTGAAAACCCAAGAGAAGAGGTTCAGAGGGCCAAACTAAAGGCTCCTATTGTGGAATCAGGAAGAGCCCCAGGATGTTGTTATTGTTGTTGTTGTTTTTTTTTGAAAAAATAATAATTGTTTTTAAATTAATGTAGTCCCATGTTTCCTCTTTATTTTTATTATTTTTATTTTATAATAATAAATTTATTTATAATAATGTGAAAATAAATATTTTAATTTTAATTTTAATTTTAACGACACAAATTAGTGTGCTAATCATCCAACTATAAATACCCCTAAGTGTACAAATCTATTGGAAACTAAGAATGAGTAAACATGTTATTAACCAGGTAACTATAAATACCTGACACGACACGACCCATTGCCATGCTTAGTCCCAAGTTTGAGTCATAACATTCGTGTAATATGTATGAGTTCAGTATATTATCGCCCCTCTTAATAGGAAAAGTCTTTAAAAAAATAATATATATACAGAGAGTTTCCATTGAGAGTTTATTTAAGGGATACCCTTATAGGGCCCACTTTGCATTGTATTTCACTAATCAAAATATCTAATTTTTAGATAATCATTCAAAGATCGCCTCTACAAAAAAAAATCACTTAAATCCGATATAATTTGACC